AGACACGTTTCCTTACACCATAAACTCGTGGATGGGCATCCAAATCCACCTTTGATATTGAATTGATGATCACGGATCTCTGGGTTGTGGGCTCTCAAGTTGAGGCACTCACCGTCCGTCATAGGATCGTCCCAGCATAGGTGCTAAACACATACTCGCCGTAAACCACGACGCGCACAATTTCGATCGCGTTAACCGGTTGTATACAAGTGGCGCTACAAATGATCGGTGGCCAAACATTTTCAATATTAAAATTTTTAAAATCTGTCGATGAATAATTAAAATTTTCAAAAATCTTAATAATTTTAGAATTAACTCCACAGTAATTTGTGGGAACAATACTAACTAATTTTGAGCTAGAATTGGAATTATAATCTAGAATTTTTCTTAAACATGAGTTTTTATAGTTAATATAATATAACATTTTTTTTTTTTTTAATTAGCATCATTTGGTTTATTGTAAATTATATTACAAATATTTATAACGTANAATCTGTCGATGAATAATTAAAATTTTCAAAAATCTTAATAATTTTAGAATTAACTCCACAGTAATTTGTGGGAACAATACTAACTAATTTTGAGCTAGAATTGGAATTATAATCTAGAATTTTTCTTAAACATGAGTTTTTATAGTTAATATAATATAACATTCTTTTTTTTTTTAATTAGCATCATTTGGTTTATTGTAAATTATATTACAAATATTTATAACATAATTATGCTTCACAGTTACTTTTGATTATTCTAAATCAGGATATTCAGAACGAATGTAGTCGGCAACTTCATTTAATTTATTATCAAACTTCATGATAATTTATTTTATAAGTAACACAATTTAATTAAAAAAATACTACTATGGGTAAACTTCAATTAACATTTTATAACTGATTTACAATAACCATAGNTTGTAAATTATATTACAAATATTTATAACACAATTATGCTTCACAGTTACTTTTGAATATTCTAAATCAGGATATTCAGAACGAATGTAGTCGGCAACTTCATTTAATTTATTATCAAACTTCATGATAATTTATTTTATAAGTAACACAATTTAATTAAAAAAATACTACTATGGGTAAACTTAAATTAACATNAGTATAATATAAGCTTTACAATAGTAGTAAGCAATTTTTGAACTCTTAAGCAATATAATAATTCCATATAAAAGGGAAATGCAGGGTAAACAAATTAATAATGGTGGGAAAAAGAATATAAAAAGGAAACATGAAAAGTATAGGGNTGAGTATTTACATATAAAGAAATAATTAAAACAAACAAAAAAATTAGATTAAAATTATTACTGACTTTGATTATTAATATGTTAAAAATAATTATAGCAAAATATCATTTTTAACCTATTTTTTTTTATTCTTTATGAAAGTTTATAATAAAAAAAGTTGAATTTGTTACCATAACTTTTAGTTTAACTTACAAGTTTTAAATTGATATCATTAAATAGAAAATTTATGAGAATTAAAAAAATTATATTGTTAAGATTAATATGCAGTTGGGAAATTGTATAATACTTATAATGTTACAATATTTACAGTGAATTTATCATAAATGTACGATTTTTTTACATTTTTATCGTAATAGATAACTTAAATAAAAATCATAGTAATCATTTCTAATTAACTTTTGGCGTTTAAAATGACGAAATAAAGAAGGTTATGCTTATTACTTTTAACATATTAAAAATCAAATCAGTAATAATTTGAAAACAATTTTTTTTTTCTTTTAATTATTATTTTATATGTTANAGAGCTCGGACGACGAACTCGTCGTCAATATATATATACATAAAACAATAATAAACCTTTGTGTCTACGTTGGGGCACTACCAACGTACGACATATGTTAAAAATAATTATAGCAAAATATCATTTTTAACCTATTTTTTTGATTCTTTATGAAAGTTTATAATAAAAAAAGTTGAATTTGTTACCATAACTTTTAGTTTAACTTACAAGTTTTAAATTGATATCATTAAATAGAAAATTTATGAGAATTAAAAAAATTATATTGTTAAGATTAATATGCAGTTGGGAAATTGTACAATACTTATAATGTTACAATATTTACAGTGAATTTATCAGAAATGTACGATTTTTTTACATTTTTATCGTAATAGATAACTTAAATAAAAATCATAGTAATCATTTCTAATTAACTTTTGGCGTTTAAAATGACGAAATAAAGAAGGTTATGATGATTATTTTTAACATATTAAAAATCAAATCAGTAATAATTTGAAAACAATTTTTTTTTTCTTTTAATTATTATTTTATATGTAATTAGTAATAATATAAAAAATTAGAAGTGATAGAAAAAGTTTAATTGCAGATTTGAAAACAACGCATAAAGTTATATTAAATAGTATATTTTTGCTTCTGATGAAAGTTCCTTGTAGTCCAGTGCTTTTATTTATAGTAACAAACAGTTTTTATTGAAAAATATTGTATCAAGCCCTTATTTTTATACACGTAAAAGTAAAGCAAAATATAACTTCTTTATTATTTTTATAATTTCTCCTTATAAATTACAATATTAAACTATTGTCGTAATATAATCGTCACGATTATTTATACGAGACAACACTAAAATACCCTGTTCATGTACTCAACAATGTTATCTTTTTTAGTATTTATTAGTATAAATTTTTTTCATTTCAAATAGTCACCACTTCTATTCTTAGAAATGGTACATTTTAACTTGTTTCATTATACATTATATTCTTACAAGGACATGATCCCTTTCGAACAAAAACTTAGATAAACATTTAAAAGAAATAGTCAAAAAACTCACACTGTTTAACTACATTGTAGTGTATGCGGTTCGATCATCAATCAATTAATAATTACTTTTAAAATCCTTCCTCACCAAAAGAAATTCTATATATTATTTTTGTCATTGTTATACTACTATTAATAGTTAAATGCATTGTATCAATTTTCGTCTTGCTTGTAAAAAAACATGTTAATGCTATACAGGGTGTTCAGTAAGTCAGGAAACAAATTTCTATTGTTCTCATTGTTACAAACAATGAGAACAATAGAAACCCGTTTCCTGACTTACTGAACACCCTGTATATGTAAATGTCAAAATAATTTATGTTCTATTCATCTGTATTGATCTCTGTGTTTCATGCTTATTTATCAATAAACAATTATACTAAAAATTCGATTGTGACGATTTTTGGGGGTAAAAATATATTATAAAAAGCCAGAGCAAACCCTTGCTCCTGGCTGTTCATTTCATGCTCCGTATTGGGCTGTTCTTTTCGTGGTCCGTATCGCTNGTGACGATTTTTGGGGGTAAAAAAATATTATAAAAAGCCAGAGCAAACCCTTGCTCCTGGCTGTTCATTTCATGCTCCGTATGAAATCTGAACTTGTGTATTTATTTAACATTTTCACCGATATCATCACTAAGGATAATTATAAGAACCAGAGAATTTACCAGGTAAGATTTTTTTTACATTGTTATTTTATGACCCTCGAATTACACTCCGAATCAAAAGTAACTCTCACTTACACATTTTCTAATAACAACTATTATTACTCTGATCTTTTTTTTTTCATTTAATATTTTTTTTATATTTTTCATTTATATTTTTGAGTTACGGCACTATTAAATATCGATTTCATACTAAAATTAATAACTATAATTAGTATTTATTCATATATTATATTTTAAAATCAAAGGACTACTAATCAGGATATAATTAAAGAAATAAGAGTTGATGTTGCTTTTGGAATAATCCACCAATTTCTCTAAATGAAACAATATTAACAGACATNCACCAATTTCTCTAAATGAAACAATATCAACAGACATGCATCGAAGCGTTTCTTATGATAGTGATTTTAATCACTGTCAGATATCATCTATACTGGACCCAACTATGCCACGACCCCACTGTGCCCCCACCGCACTGTGCTGAGTTTTTATTTTTTGTGTCTGTTATCACTTTTTCTCAGCTCTCACCGAATTGATTTTTCTCAACTATACATCAAAAGATCAAAAATCGTATCTAGTTGCAGATATTACCCTCAAATATTTTTTCCTCGTTCCCATAAATGAAGAAAATCCCCCCAAAAATTACGATTTTTATTTATATTTTTAATTCTTTGTATCTTTTTAATTTTAACTTTATAATTAAATGGTTCAGTGCCATATTAACAGATTATTTTGTTATTTGTGATTCAAATTCAAGATTTATTTTTTTGCCAGTTTTGTATGAACACCAATAATTTCTATTCATGGATAAAAATATTACGAATGAAATGCATCATACAAACGAAATGCATAAAATATAGAGTTTAGAACTATAATTATCGGTAATACATTCTTGCCTCTCTTGGATAATTTCAGAATAAAGAGATAACTGAATATTAGCACTGTACTCTTTAACTGTTTGGATAAATTTTAAAAAAATACTTAGCAATAGTAAAACATGTATCTCATTTCTATGTTATCGAGGCAATTAACACAAACCCCAGACAAAGTATAAAACATAAAAATGGTATACCAATAATAATATAAAATGATACACCAATGACAGGGTCCACATTTAAGTTTTAAACGTTATATCTCGTAATGTTTTAATTCGGTTTTTAGATGTACTAGGGAAATTATTTACTGTAATGTTTTTTCATTATTTTTTTAGTTCCTCGTATATACCAAGTGTATATTTATTGTACACTGGATTGATTTGTGATGAATGTCTATTGCAATATATTTATACCTTTAGGTAGTCCGTATTTAAGTTATATTAAAAGGTGTTAGGATAATAACACTGTTTAAAAAAAAGATAAAATTTGTTTAAGTAACTAAAATAATATATAAATAATATTTGTTAAAATGATTCATTGTTTTAATTTACGAATTTATATCTTACAAAATACCCATTTATTATTAAAATTAAAGAATAAGGAAACACATAGCCAACATGTTATTACTATTTTTGTAACAGTCTTAAGAACATTATATGTTAGTTATAGTGTGTTTTTAAATTTATATCTTCAATCAACAACGTTCATCGACTTCTATTATATTAATAATTAAAATATTAAAAGTGTTCACGTGAAAACCCTGGCGATTTAATTGGATTGTAGCTTTTTCAAGGTACTCTAAATCTATAAGTTGATAAGTATGCTCATTAGGAAGTTGTTCTTTGCGGTCATTCTTTGTTCATTTTATTTCGACGAATTATTTTATATCGTAGTAAGTACTACATAAAATACATAAAATAAATACATTAGTTCAACATAAAATAAAAACTTTTTTAATGTTTTATTTTGTTTGACTATTTTACAAAAGAAATTAATTGTTTTTTTTTAACGTTTTGTTAATTTTTTTAATATTGTTTAATTATCCCATGAAACTTAAGTAAATTTTTAATGGAGTTTTTTTATTGCTTTACTATATTTTACATAGAATTTTTAGAGTTATCACTTAAATAGGATGCCTTTAACTAGTTATCTTCTAATTTGTATGATCTTTAACCTGTTATATTTATTAACACATAATTACATTTTAACCGTTATTATAATAACATTTGGGTTAAAATTTTATATATATAACTTAAGGTATTTTTTTTATTTTTGTCCTAATTTTTTATATTAAGACTAAATTGATATTAAAAACAAAACTCTTATAATAAATAAATTGTTAAATTACCTATTACATCTACATTCATATATTTTGATTATTTTATATTCAATTTAGTGATATATTTTAAAATATTATGTACTTTTAATTATTTATATTTACTTAAAAATGTGCGTTTTTTTAAATTAAATTTAATCAGTATGCATAGAGCAATTGATCTTTATAATATGTATGTTAATACATACATAATAATTTTATATTGTATATATTTACATAAGTCATTCAAATGACATATCTTTTAATTATTATCATTTTATATACGTTTTAAAAACATTTTTTAAATATAAGAAAAATATGCAATAATTATTATTATTCAAAAGACAAAATGGGCATAAGAACATTTTAAACACATTTATTTAACATTTCATTAATATTTTTAAAATATATTAATAAACATTTAAAAAATATTTTTTTTTGGATTTTGGGTATTATAAATTAGTTTTAATAGCATAAATAATTTTATCATAATTTATGACTTATTTTAAATACTTTAATAAGTTTTAAGAATTATATTATTAGAAAGTGTTTCCCGCTCTTTTTTAATTATCTATGCCAAAATATTTCTAGTTAAAAAAAATTAAAACTAAAAATTTCCTAATTAATGAAATTCTAGATTTTATCTTGTACAAATATACCAACAAGCTGATAAAATAATTAAAATAAAAAAACAATGAATAAGGAAACAGATTTCTATGTTGTGGAAATGGCTCAAAATAATAATAACGATACAACACTCATATATGACGACCGTAGTAAGTAAGATTAATTAAATATTACAAGTATTAAAAAGTAATCGTTATAGTTAGTATACTTTTTATATTATTATTTTACATGTTCTATTCGTACTGATAATATTCCATATATACAGGGTGTTCAGTAAGTCAGGAAACGGGTATCTATTGTTCTCATTGTTACAAACAATGAGAACAATAGATACCCGTTTCCTGACTTACTGAACACTCTGTATACTAGTAATAATAATATTTTAATTTTCGTTCCGTGAACGTTAAATTAAAATTTATATAACATAATATTTTTAGATTAATATGAACATAGGCATAAATTGGGAAGAGCTTAGCCCAAACTTGCTTGTCATAACATACTCAATTGTTCACAAAAGAGTATTGTCATTTATTTAAAAAATAATGCATCGATTTTTTTTAAATTACACATATTTCTTGAATTATTAATTACTTTTTAGCATCATCCCTTATAATATAAATGGGCGTTAACTTAATTTCTTTAAATGGCAACATATATATGTAACTTAACCTTATTAAGAAGATGACGAGTCTATAGCAACTTTTGGATCAGTACTTCGGAAGTAATAAACATTTTTATGTTTGGCCCGGAGAAGTGTGGTCCCAAAAAATGTCTAATAATAAATATTGTTATACCCGCGTCTCACCTCCAAACCATAAATTAAATAATTATAACTTCCGAAGAACTGGTCGAAAAGTTGTTATTGACCAGATATTTTCTTAATTGAATCATTTTTTTTTTTGTAAACAGGTTAAATATATGCGTTTTTATTAAAAAATAAGTTTGATACAATTTTATGAAGATAAAGGAAGGAGATCAGACAATTTTTTTCAAAATCATAAAACGTAGAATATTATTAACTTATGAGAAGGAAAAATATTAGTATATTTTATACTTTAAAGATTATGCGTGAATTAAATTTAAACAATTATCATGGATCAGGCTCTATGTGGGGGAAATGTTAGGGATTGTACTTAAAATAAAAACAAATAATAGAAGAGTGTTCCGGTCTCCAAAAGATTTTAAGATCTTTTTTTTTTGCTCATCATATCATGAAAAAATAATTAAGATGTAAAAAATTAAACAAATTGTTGATAAGGTTAAAATTAAAATAAACGACTTTTTTTCATAAAACAATGATAATTTAAAAAAATTGTTTTTTAAAATTCGATGAAGGTTGGATAAATTAACTGTACTTTTGCGTTTTACTATCAAAAAATTTGTGGTAGGGAGAAATTTGAGAAAATCTTCCAAATTTTTTTTAATATTGCGCTTATAAAAATGAATTATGTTAAGATTAAATTAAGGATATCAAAATTATTTTTAGGAGCATCAGTCCCATTTAATGCTAAAGCATTAAAAGATCTCAATCGCATTCAAATTGAAGAAATTAATGGGCTAAGAAAAAAGATAAATGAACTCGAACATAGACAAGCAATGTTGGTCAACAATATCAATTGTGGTAACTAATTTTTTTCAGTAGTTTTTAATATATTTATAACATAATCTTTATAGAAAAAGTTTAACAAAACATTTATTCTCAAATTAACTCCTTTGGAGATGGGAAGAGAGGCAATTGGCCTTATGGTTTAATGTACTGATAGGTAAAGTTATGATTTTACAAATTCTATCAATTAAATGGATTTAGAAAAATAATAATTTTACTATGTTATGTTTAAAAAATGCTCAGTAATCGTTTAGTAATTTGATGATAAATAAGAACAAATTCTGTTTATCAATTTCAGATTGTGTAAATATCACAAAGTATTATATTAGCGTTACGATTGCAAATTTTTAACCTCTTACCTTATTATTTTTTAGCGTCAACGTTACCTAAAAGACCGTATTTTAGTAATTAGATTTTCTCCTCCCTTCTAAAAATTAATTCCAGCACAAATTTCTAATAAAATATATTTTGATTGAATTAAAATGTTTTGTTTTATTTTTTTCAGTTTATGCTAAAGAAACTAATGTACCCAAGGTAGTCGTCAATGTATTAGGTTCTCGAGATCCAAACATCATTCCTCATAAAGAACCACAACTTAGAATTAAAAATCATTATGGAGTAAGTCAAACATTTTTTTTCGATAATTGTCAAATGAAATTGAATTATTATTGAAAATAGGTCCGGCTTATTGGTGATAATATTGCTGTCAAGCAAAAAAAAAAAAATGAAGCAGTTTTTAAAAAGTGATATCATATTATGAAAATACTGTGTATATTTGAAACTAATTATAATGTTATTTTCGACACTCATTTTAATACTTCTTGAACTTTTAAATATTAAGTACAATTTTTATTCTTCTTTAATTTAATTAATATCTTGTTAAATTTTTTATTTAATTAACTTAATCAATTATTTTCATGTGGATTTTTTCCTATTTGTCTTATTTTGTTTTGTAACTATTGCTATTACTTTAACTAATTTCAAATTAATTTAGAAGGAATTTTATGATATATTTAATCAGTATTAGATATTTTATATTTTATATTTATTATTTATACATATATTTTTTATTTAATGTCTTATACCAGAGATATATTTTGATATTTTAATTTAAGACCTATAATACAAAAAATTAAAAAAAAACACAGCACATTGGGTCGTGGTGTAGTTTGGTTCAGTATAAATGATTTTTGATAGTGATTTTACTATCATAAAAAACGCTTCGATGCAAATCTGTAGATAGTCTCTAATTTTAAGAAATTGATTGATTATTCTAAAAGCAAAATTAACTCCTACTTCTATCATTATTACTAATTTGTAGTTGATTTGTATATATAATTTATGAATAAATATCTATTAAAGCAGTTCAATGTATTATGAAATTTGTATTTAATTTTAGTATTGAAATTTTTTCGGAGAATTTATAAAAAATTAAAAGTAGTTATTACTTTTTTGATAATAATTTGTTGTTAATTATGAATAAATGGTCTGCAAAAAATTTTCATCATAGTAAAAAAGATACTTTTATTATTCAACTTTTCGTAATTTCAATTCAGAAATTATATGTTTTCCATCATAAATAATATTTGATCTTATTACTAATTAGTTTTAAATTATAGGATATAACTATAAGGAAAATAGTTTTGAATATTACATAGAAATTATTATGTCTTTGGAAATGATTTAATATGATAAAAAAATAATTAAAAACACAAAAAATTGTTTTTAAATTATTACATAGTTTAAAAATAATCAGTGCAAAATATCATTTTTAACCTATTTTTTTTTTGGTATTTTAAAGTTGATTTTTTGAAAGATTATAATAAAAAAAAGTTGAATTTTTTACCATAACTTTAAGCTCAACTTCAAGTTTGAAATTTACANAGATTATAATAAAAAAAAGTTGAATTTTTTACCATAACTTTAAGGTCAACTTCAAGTTTGAAATTTACATTATTAAATAGAAAATTTTATGAGAGTAAATAAATAGTATTGTTAAGATTAATATGCAGTCAGGAAATTGTATAATTACTATTTACAGTAAATTTATTTGAAAAGCTCAATATTTTTTTTTGCATTTTTATTGTAATAGAGCACTTTTATAGAAATCATACTAATCATTTCTAAATAATTTTTGGTGTTTAAAATTATTCTACATTTGAAATATTTAGAACATAATTAATTTTAATGATTTACTTTAACTAAAAAACCTAATCAAAAATGTTGTTAAAAAAATCTGCTCATTTGAGTGAATTACAAAATTTGATTATAGTCTTCAATTTTGAAGACTATAATTTTTTCAATNACAAAATTTGATTATAGTTTTCAAAATTTTTTATTAAATTCAGGTAAAAATAAAAATAATTTTTTTTAGATTTATGATTTATATAGCAAAATTTAACCAAAAAATTTGGAACATTATAGACATTATGGACTTTTAGTAACACACAAATAAAGTTAAAAAATTATTATATTACAAAGTAAAATTATTTAATTTTGTAGTTGAAACCAATCATCATATCGTACCTAATTCGACAATAAATATTTTAAAAACATTAACAATTAAAAAAATAAATAATAAATTTACAAAATGATAAGTACTTATCTCATGTGTCATTAAAAAAAAAATTAAATATTGATTTGGTCTTTTTTAAAAAAGTTTATTATAAAGTTAGAAAAAAAAAAATTTTTTTTTTAAAAATAGTATTACTAAAAATAGTTTTACTCCATGTAAACAAAATAAAGTCCAACATTTTTTTTTTCATATCGAAGTATATTACATAAGTGTAATTTAAGATATATATATATAAAAGTGTCAGTATTTCTGGGACACTTAAAAATTAAGTTGAAAAAGTTCTACTTTTATATACGTATTATTTGTAATTTTTTTGGAGATTTTCCCCATTTACGGGGAACGAGGGAAATGTTTTCAATTTTTGAGGGTAATGTCTTCGGCTAGATACGATTTGTGATCTTTTGGTGCATCGTTGAAAGAAATCGGTTCGGTGAGGGCTGAGAAAAAATGGAAACAGACACATCATAGTATAATTAATATAAAAATTAAATTTATCTTAAAAGTAAAATAAGCATAGGTATAATTTTAAAATATTAATATTTCCAAGTCTTAAAATTGTTGTAGTACCTTTTTGTATTATATGTTCTACTTATTTTAATAAATAGAACTGACTGTTAAGTTTTTCTGATAGTTATCAAAATGAAAATAGAAAATTTATTGTATCATCTAAATTAATTTTAAGTCATCATGTATATGTGCATACGAAAATTAATTGTACAACATTTAAATGCTTTATTTACAACATACTTATTCAACTTCTAATATCATTAGAATTTGACACCTATTGTTTAGTTTTTTTAATTACTTATTTATTTTCAATGTATAAATAAATTGTTAATGTTTAAGAAACTATTTTGGTAATTCTTAAAACTTTATATTAACATTGTATAAGCATTGTGTAGTAGAAATATTTTTATTATTTCATCGCGACAGGTACCATGTTTTTGTCTACATGTCAAAGAAATATGTAAGTAAATTTGTGCGCCTTAGTATATTCAAACAAGGATTTCGTGATATAATGCTATTAGCTAACGATTAGGTATGACATTAGGAAATGGTCGTATTCAGTTAAAATAACTGAGCAAAATATAGATCACAATTTTGAATGTGTGCACTAAAATTGATAATGATAATCTAAGATTATTGAAAAAAAATCATAAAATAACTTACTATCAATGATTCCTCCTCGGTGGATTCGAATATCTGTAATATAAAATTAATTATTCTGTGAGCCAATTGGTTTCTTATAATAGTCGTTGACATTGTACCAAGTCACGCGAATTATTTTTTATTGTTTACACGCAATTGAAATGGAGAAGATACGTCTACGACTAGCTTAGGGCGCTTCTGGAATGTTTTCTTGTTTCCTTTTAGACTGAATAAGTATAACTACAATAATAGGCATTACTAAGAGTTTAATTCATGTCATTAGGTGTTTTTTATTCTATTTAATAGATTTGATTTTAATAAAATAATTAAACTTTGCCTAAATTTGATTGTTATAACTTGCAGCAACTATCATTAAAATGAATGAACAGGAACAGGTAAGAATTTTTCTATAGGACTAGTAAAGTAATTATTATGATGAATAATTATTTCATCGCTAACTGTAACAATTATATTTTTATATACGATACGTTTATTTGTGGGTTTATGCAATTGTCATTTAAAGTTTATTATTGTCGAATATTTAAGTACGAGACTCTTTATACATTTGACAAATCGATTGTCATAAAACTTTGCAACTATCATTTAGATAACATACTTGCATTACAACTATTTCTTTTTTATAACTCATAAAAAAAAGTCAATAGTAATAAAGTAAGTTTCGTTACAAAAGTTTTTATTGTTATTATTTTTATAAGTTACTGAATGAATCATATGATCTATAATTTATTTAGTAATATTTTATTATTCTTAAATAGAGTAACCTGAGGAATAGAATTTTAAATATGAGTTTCAATTTTTCAGTTGAAATTGGCTTTTAGATAAGTATAAATTAACAATTTCTATTAGATTATTAGAAATAGATTTTTTGCATCATGATAAGGGTAAAAGGGCGTATCTTATGGGTTTGATTGGAACATTCATATTTTTTCTACATTAAATTTAGTCATTATTATAACATGGTTTAAATCTTTGATGAATGAAATTATTTTTTTGAAATATTTCATTTGAGTGGAATTTTTAAAAAATCTACGTGTCATGTGATTTTTTTATATTTAAAATAAAGTTTAACAAAATTTAGTTGGGTTAAAGTTTATTTAACTATAATCTTAACTAATTTTATGAACATATTCAAATCTAACTTTAAATTTTTAGTAAATCTAATTATAAGACAATTATTGATAAGGAAAAATGATATAAAATACTATTAAACAATAAAGTGATATATATATATATACATAGTGGAACGAATCTAACTGACAACTTATATAACTTATAATCGACATAACAATTAATTTTTTTTAATCAATTATTCCAATATAGAACTATATTTAAAGTATGTTTTATGTTATTTTTCGCAATCACAAAAAATATTTTAAAAATTAATTTTTTTATTAAAATTTTTTTTCAGATTTTTAGATAACCATTATATAGATAAGTTTTAAAGAAAAATGTTGATACCAAAAACTTATTTTAATTCAGTAGTTACGTTTATACAGCATTTTGAAGTTTGTTAAATTTTGATTTTTTTTACAATTTTCCTATGGTATCAATGTTAGTCCATATTATGTAAGGTACAGAAGTAAACACTTATTACATTATTTACTAGTAACAGTACACGATTTATTTTCCATGAAAATTATTAACATTTGAATAAACATTTGTAATTGATATTAAAAAACAGTTAGTAGTATAATTCAGATTATTAAAAAAAATTATAGAAACATTGTCTAAAACATGTCGAAATTTTAATTAAAAAGTTCATATATCATAAATTAAAACGTGAATAATAGTGATTGACAATATTTATGATGATGATGATGGTTTAAGCCATATATACAATTAATTAAAGCTTATATAATATACTTTATTTTGAAAAAAAATAATTTGACCTCTGGACTTGTCTTCATAGTGAAAACGAACATCAAAGTTAAAGAAAAACGTACAATATCTGTGAATTAATTCTCGATTTTATATTTTATATTATTAAATTTATATTGCTATAACTTACGGAAAAATGTATAATGTTTTTAAAATCAGTTTGTACAAAAAAAAAAAATTATTCTAAAGACGTTCAAAAAATTTAATTATTTTTTAACTAACATTTTTGATAACTTAAATTTGTTACCAACTAAAGAAGTATAAGGATTTAAGCTTTTTTTTTTTTAAATACAACATATAAAAATCATGCGAAAAAAGGAAAAAATTCTTTAGCATTAATAATTTTGACTTAAACGAAAAATATCATATCACAAACAAGCTAAACCGACAGTATAGTTACGACCACAAGTCTGTAACTGTCGCCCTGAAGATGGAATCTGCAACGAGTCCGAAATGTCAGCTCATAACTGAAAAGTGGATACATCCGTAAACATTTCAAGCAATACGATAATCTACGAAAACTTCAAAGTATTCATATTTACAGTACTTCATTAATTTAAAAATTCGATGTAGTATAATGAGTTCTGTTATAAATAACGTACATTAAAATAATTATTTTTAAAATGTAAGTAAATAAATTGAAAGCTAAATTTAAAAAAAATGTACATTTTTTTCATAAATCATTTATATTCCTACTTAAAATAAATATCAAAAACAATTAAATAATGATATTAAACTATATGTGGATACAAAATTTTGTCTCCATTGATTTTAATTTAAGAAGATTTAATATTATTCAATTACAATTTCTTTTGTGAAAAATATGAATTGTTGTTTTGTATTGATCGTTATTTTAATTCAATTACTATCATCAAATTTTGTTTTATCCGAGTTAAACGAACATGAAAAAATTAAGATTCTTAATGAAATACTTGTGAATGTAAATGCATGGGGAAAATTCAAGAGTATAAAAGTTAAACATGTAATTAACAGTAAAAAGAATATTTTCACAGTTGATAATATTTTTGATAATGTTGAATACAAATTATACATAGATCAGCACAATATAGAATTTGTTGAAATGCCTGACGAACTACGTAAGTCAAAATATTTGCATGTTAATTCAGCAAATTTTGTAATAAAAGTTAACTTGATTTTTGAATTCGTAAAGTGTAAGTGTTGGGAACAAATTAAGTTAACTAATCGATTTTTGTCTTACATGACAAGTGATTATAAGACAATATATGATGAAGAATTAATAATGCCCTACCCAAAAAAGAGCTTAAAAATAAAGAGTTTGCTTATTATAAAAATCAAGGAATATAAAGAATTAGCGCGTAAACTTTACAATTATATATCTTTTTTAAAAAGTTTATTTCCTGAAGGCCTAAATGAAGTAAGAGCTACAGACCCATTTTTTTCAAAACTATTGCCCATAATAAATATGCCATTACCAGAAGGTGATGATTTTGCAATTGATTTGAACGTAATATTAAACAAATCATTTTCGGACATTTCTAATTATTCAAGGAATTTGTGTGTTTATTCAGACAAAATTTCTCGCCTGCAAACATTTAACAAAAATTACAAAAAATATGGGTATTCTACAAAATATAAGAATGGCTTTTCAGAATATATGAGTGCACTCTTCGATTTTTATGCAAAACAAACTTATGATTTGTTTTCAAAATTATCATTAAGTAAAAAATTAGAATAACGCATAAGACGGAATTAAAAATTATTAATATTTAAAATTTTATTTACACTTCCATATGTATTTTAGTCTTTTGTCGGATAAATCAATAATTGTTTTTTTCTCACACCTGTAATTTTATGTAAAATTATTTTTTAAAACTAGCTACTTGATTTCTCTTAAAATAATAATTAAGTTAAAATTATTATAATTAAAAACAATAATGTTGATGTCTTTATTACATATTAGAGATGAATTGAAAAAATACTTGATGATTAATAAATCGAGAAATATATGAAATTAAAAATGCCAAATTAAGTTTTCATAATAGTTGTTATTTTAGAGAAATCGAGTGACTTATATTAATAGATTATATATTGTTACTTTAAAAAGTATAAAATTTGATGCAATCTATTTAAAATATTAAATTTTTTGTTTGTAAGTTTATTTGTAGATTTTTAAATATTATTTACTTAATACTTTGTTGATTAAATATGCGTTTCCTAGTTATTATAATAGTAAGTATTACATCGATTTGGCTTATGTCGGCATAATTACTTAAATAGGCACTGTATGTTATTTGTCTTACAAATATCATTAAAAGAAATTAGTTCGATGAGAGTTGAGAACAAGTGGCAACAAACACATAAAAAAAACTCATCATTGAAAAATTAATACCTTCTCAGTTTCGTATCGAAACTAAAAAAACTGAACTAGCACGCTTTTACAATATCATGTAATCACAAATCTTTAAAAATATTTTCAATTGAGTTATTATTTTTAAAAGAATTTTTCTTGTGTTTGATATTCAAAATTAACAATTTATCTAAGTTTTTTGCTATTTGAGAAATAATTTATGAGTTAAGATAGTTTTTAAGCTGTAAATATTTAAAAACTGACATAAATTAATATTTTTTAACAAAAAAAAATTTTTTTTCATTACAAATTTTGATTTTAATGAGTAAAGTGAGGTAACGTTAACGAACATTTTTTTTTGCAATGTTATTATAATCTTAACTACCTAATCACAATAAACAATCATATAATAAGAAAATTAATTACTCTGTTAAATTTTAATGGGGTATACATAAATAGAATTAATTTTTATTGACGTGGAGAATTACAGTGCATTATTATCACTATGGGAACTAAGTTCATCGTGTGATCGGTAAAACACCTTTTTTAGGTGTAAAAATACTTAGGATTGTAAAATGCTACGTTAAAATCTAAATTTAACCATTAATCATACAAGAGTTGTACAGAAATCATTATGTCATTTATTTAAATATTGTATTCTCAATATTGTCTCGATAATGTTTAAATAATGATTTCTACAATGTTTCATCGTAAAAAACACCACCAGAAAGTAAAAAGGCTCAACTCCGAAGTTCAGGTTAGTCAATTATGTCTCGGTAAATGTCTAAAACTCGTCTTGACTTTATAGTTTCCTTTATATGTTTAAAGTTATTTTTATTTTTCCACTATGATTTAGTATGACTGTGTCATAATTATGTCTACTAAAAAAGTTTTAAGACTCTAAATTTATTTAAATGCGAATGTATATTACTATAACAACTACTGAGAAATTACTCATCGTCATCGTATAACGTTCAGTTTATATGTACACACACGGAAATTCGCGTGTTACTTGGAATGAATATCGCAGGAATTTTTATTTTTTAAATGTTCGATAGTTTCGCGGTAAAAATATTAAAGCGCTCAGTATTAGTTTGTTAAACATCTCCAAATTACATATGCTTTGTGACAAAATTGGTATCTATTCAAATACAGTAATTATTTGACGACGAAGTAACCTTATCTTTAAGTATTTTTTTGAGCGTTTATGTTTTCATAAAATTAAACTAAAATGTTTGTCGATGACCAAGATGTCAAAGAAATTGATGTTGACTGGACTTCTTTATCGTTAAGTGAAGCACTTCAAGTAAGTCTCGCCCCAATTTGAAGGTTTTGCTATTAATTGCATTGATTTTATGTAAATTAACACATATTTTTATATATACTTATTAGTAATAAATGCTTAAATTAATTTTGGTAACAATTTTTTTAATAGGCATAAGTTTATAGTACTTCAATAAATGAAATAATTTCTTTATAATTTTACAAAAAATAAAAATAACTGATAATAAACTATTTGAAGGACATAAAATTTAATTTTTTTTTGAGAGAAATTTTTAATAACAGTTAACTCTAAAAAATAGTTTATTTTTGCAATTAAATTTTTTTTATTGTATTTTAGAGGCGAAGGGAAGAATGCGAGCGAAAAGCAAGAAGAGGGGAAATGGACCCTCGGTTAGAATTTACTTTTCAATTGCTCATCGATAGTACTGAACTGACTAGGAGCTCAGTAATGGACTATGTATTCGAATCAAACATGGTAAATACTTTTATTTTTATTAAATAAATTTTATTTAATAGTTATAATAATATTTATTGTTCACAGTTAGATAAGATAAATGAATTATTTTTACCTAATGGCCAATCAAAATTGATGTGGTTTTATCAAGAGGTAGAAGTTAGTGATTCTGAATCTTTTGAAATGGTAATATTAACACCTTTGTAAAACTTATTCTATTTTTTACCAATCAATTTTTTTAGATACAATTAAAGCCTTCGACTAGTAGAGCAATACAACAACGTCCAAATGTAGTATCAAAACCGAAAAAGAAAAAGCTTTTCCTTACAAATGGTTGGGAAGTTGGGTTAACTGGTATTTGTATTTATATTATTCGATTAAATACAACAAAACAGTTACCCGAAGAAGGATTTCACAAAGATTTGATTTGTGGCACGTTAGATGCAGAAAAAAAAGGTTTAGTGAAAAGTATTGCTCGAATAATTGAATATGTTTTTATACCAGCATTGGCTATAACACAAGCAGACGAAGAGCACTCTGAGGATGATCAGAATTGTCCGTTAATTAAAAGTCAATTGCTACCAGAACTTCGATCATTTTGTAGTTCTTTGAAAGGTAACACATGAAAATTGTTTTTTTTTTTTATAGAAACAAGTTGATATAAAATTTAATTATAGTATGTGAAGAAGTTTGTGATCAACCTAACATATTTGATGATGGAATAAACTTGCTATCAAAAGTTCCATCATATAAAGAAGCCATGCAATTAGCTAAAAATAGAGATGAAATTGTTGCGTTAGAAAAACGTGTTTTAAACTGGACTAGAAGGATCCGTGAAGTAGTTTAAATTTTTAAAATTAAACTTTCATGTTACCAAAATAAATGTTTTTACTTTTTATAATAGATATTACTGGAAGACGAAAAATTGCAATATGAAAGTGATATAAGTGGACCGCAAGATGAGTTAGAGTATTGGAAAAAGAGAGGAGCTCAATTTTCTCAAATAGCTACTAACCTTGCTTGGGATGAAGTGAGTAAATTTTTTTTTTCTGAATTATATTTGAATGTAAATTATTTTTAAGGTAGTTATGACCATTTGTTGTTTACAACTATCTCGATCGCGGATGGTGGATAGGTGGCGACGTACTGATAACCATTTAACATTGTGTTATAATGAAGCAAAAGACAATTCTAAATATATTCAAGCATTAGAAAAATGTTGTCATTCATTGTATCTAGATAACCCGGTCAAAATGAGGAACTCTTTGGTCCGTATGTTACAAACAGTACGACTTATTCATGACGTATCAATGTTCTATAATACAACTGAACAAATATCATCACTTATGGTTAAAGTAATTATACCCTAAATTATTAATGGGCAATTCAAATAATGCTAAAAATTCAACCAATGTATTTAATGAAATAGATAACAAATCAAATGATTGAAAGTTGTAAACAGCATATTACAAACAGAAATAAAGATACTATCTGGTCTCAAGATAGAAGTTATTTAATGACTAAATTAAATGAATGTATCATGTTAAATAGACTATATCATTATACATACGAGCGAGTGAAAATTCATCGCGGCGCAGGAAGACAATTTAGTTTTTCAGAAAATTATGTTTTTGGAAAATTTGACTTGTTTTGTAATCGTCTTGGAAAAATTTTGACTTTATTCGATACAGTTGATGATTATACCGGATTGTTTGAACGACGTTTGGAAGGATTATTATTTGGTGATGGTGAGTTAAAATCATGAACTAATGTTAAATATTTCAAAATAATTATTTTTTTTATATTTTATTTTAGCACTAGATAATGCTATAAGAACGTTTGAAGAAGCAAAGTTAGTGGTAATGAACAAAGGATATGACTACTTAGATCAAAAGAACAAAGAGTTTGAACATGATTATGTGACATTTTTTGCATTGGTTGAATCGTTGAAAGACAGTTTGGCTCATATAATTGAAACTAATTTTAACTCAGTTTGGGAAACAGGACAGGGTATTAAATTTCTTGATAAATTTGAAAAGGTAAATTTTAACTTACGAGCACTGTTAAATATGATTTAACTTTATACCTCATCTTATTGAATAGATTTCTACTAAAATACCAGTGACAAAAATGGACATAAAATACACTAGAGTACTAAAATATTGTGAATCACAAATTGACGGATCACTAAAATTATTTAAAAAGAAAAAAGGTAAACCACCTGTGCCCAAAAATTTTCCTCCTTTATCAGGTAAATAAAATGATAAAATTTACAATTTTTTTATATTTGAATAAATTTTGATGTATTTATTAGGGCGTATTATATGGGCAAGATCATTAAGACAGCGTTTATGTTATCTTATGGATGAGGCCAATAGTCATCCGGTTTTAAAAATAATGCCAGAAATGAGTGATGTTCAAAAAAAATTTTCTTCTATGTCACTAGCTTTACTAAATTACGAAGACGAAATAAAGTCAATTTGGATGAACCATAATGTACTACTCTATTTACATTATCTTTATAATTATTAACGATAAAAATATTTGTAGGTTAAAGTAATAGACTATTGTTTAGTAAAATATTTGTTGAAGTTTAACAGCAAGACTAATATGGTATACGTAAATTTTGACTCAAGAATACATCTATTAATATTAGAATCAAGTTGTATGCTGAAAATGGATATACAAGTTCCAATACTAACTAAAGCAATTTACTTTAAAAGGGATCATTTTACTCTAATTTGTGATTCATTACAGGCAAGTTTATCGAAAAACTTAATTTATTTATACATTATATATATATATATATATCTTTTGTAGTGTATGTTAAATAAGATTCAAAAAGTTGCAAGCAGTGTAAATATGGACGTGAGACCACTTTTTGTAACTCAGCTTGTTTGGCTTCTTGACCTCTTGACACCTGGCTTACAAAAACTAGATTGGACTAGTGCGGGATGGAAAACATTTGTAGATGAAACTAATGCAGCAACAGATAAATTACAAATATTAGTTACAAGGTAAGTTATATTACAATGTAACTACTTTTTTAGTTATTTTCAATAAGAACGAATAAATTCAGTAATTTCATTTTACTGTAATTTAAGAGTTCACGATGTTTACAAAAACAGAATTCTTCAAGTACTTTTGTCAATACAAAACATTACATTGTATACATTTCCAGAAGAAGATATTACATGGACAATGGAAGAATTTTTAGAAAAAATTCATGAAACCTGCCGACAGGCTGCTATTGTAATATTAGAATTTTTTTATGTTATGCGCTGATACAAATAATAAAAATAATTTTTGAATAAAAAAGGAATTGAATCGAAAGAGTTTACTCGTTGAAGAAGCTGTTGAAGAAGTCTTAAACCTTGTTCAAAAAGCTAATAGTGATGTGACTATTCCAAAATTAGAAAATGAGTTCGTTCAAAAAGGAAAACAAGGTAAGTTTGTTTAAGTTAAATAATTTTTAAGCTAGAAGAGTTTAATAAAAATTGCGTTATAACTAAAAAATATTTTATTTAGATACTGTAGATGTCTCTAAACAAGACGGTGGTGACAATCAACAGGATTGGAGTACAGTGTGTGAGTTTTTTGACAATCCATTTGTTCTAGCTGCTTATGAGTTACCACCATCAGTTTATACTCTAGCAAATAATGCAATTAAAGAAATGAGACGATTTTATAGTAGAAAAGTAGTCGATGCTCTTATAAAAATAACAAAGCAATCTTTAGATGTTTTAAGAAAAAAGTTTTCACAAGATTCAAGTAACTATTAAATGTTAAGAAAAACATTGATCTACATAAAATTTTCATCAGAGACGAAAATATATTTTTCTAAGCCAATTTTTGCAAATTTTTAAATCTGAAATTAGATTTTTTCTAGTTTTGAGATAAATAATAATTAGTTAAAAACGCATACAAAATAATAACATTTTATATATTTGTAAGAAAAACGATTACTTTTTCTTATGTTTTGAACACCGATCAGGTCCACTAGATGGCATAATGGTCGGTGTTCATGTTAGGTGAAAAACATGAGTTTTATCATTAACCTCTATAAAATTAAAAATGTATTGTAATATAATTTATCTATTTTAAAAATCAAATCTTTATATAAAATATTAATAATTGTTGTAATAATTAATAGCATAAAATATTGTTTCTGATACTTTTCTTTTAGGTGAGTAAAATTGTAAATAGCTTGTACATAATATTAATAAAATTCTGATACTTTTCTTTTAGCAACAATTTTATTGCAATTAGTTATTTAATCAAGAATTGATAAACATTATAAAACAATATTTTAACTATGGAGAAATTAAGATTTGATTTTTCGGTAAAACCGACAGATGAGGGAAAATCAAATGNTAAAATTTTTATTGATTTTGATTTTTAATAATAGGAATTCATGCCAAAGTCGAATACTTAACCATAACTTTTTGACTCAACTTAAAAGTTCAAAATTGAAATCATTAAATAGAAAATTTTATCAGAATTTAAAAAATAGTATTGTTTAGTATGATGACATCCTATAAAAGTTCCTAATATTATGTTAGTAACTTTTGGTATTTAAAAATATGTTGCAATTGAAATATTCATAACTTAATTAATATTTTAATTATTAAATAATGACAAAATTAATATAACAAATATTTATGTTTGATTATAAGTTACGTATGAATAATCAATAAATATATTTTAATTAAAAATAAGTTGAAAAAGTTCTACTTTCTATATGCATATTTAAGTTTTGAATCACCGCTGTATAAAGGGGAATGGTCCGATTAAAAAAAAAAGTATAACGAATGAAAGAAATATATAAATAGTATTTGTCTTAAAAAAATTGTATTGACCCATACATTTTTCAAAAAGTTTTAGATATATAAAGTTAAAAATGTAAAATATAAATCAAGAATTTTAATACAAAAATAGCATACGGTAGCCATTTTCACCATGAAGACAAAATAAAGTCCGAAAGTTTTTTTTTTAATATTGAAGTATACTACATAAGCTTTAATTTAAGATATATATAAAAGTGTCAGAATTTCCGGAACACTTTTACAAGTTAATTTTTTGTGAAATAATTATCATTTTAAATATCCCCGGAGAACAGTTAAAGGGTTTGATTTATGAAAAAAATATAAAAAATGATAAGTAAATACCTTATGTATCTATAAAAAAAAATTTAATTGATTTGGTCATTTTTAAAAAAAATATGGTAGTTTTAAGTAAAAAAAAAAATTGAAAAAATGTCGAAATTAGCGATTTTTAAATTTGTAATTTTTTGGAGATTTCCCCCATTTACGGGGAACCAGGGAAATTTGTTCAAGTTTTGAGGATAATCTCTTCGATTAGATACGATTTGTGATCTTTTGACATATCGTTGAAAGAAATCGGTTCGATGAGAGCTGAGAAAAAGTGATAGTATCAGACACAAAAAAAAAAAAAACAGTAAAATTAACACCTTCTCAGCTTAGCATCAAAGCTATTAAGTTATGGCAAAAAGTAAAACTTTATTTTTTTTATAGATTTTCGTAAAATTTTCGTAAAAATCTAATTGCAGACTTTAATTTATTTCAAAAAATTGATTTTAAAATGTATACTTTCGTTCTAATGATTAAAAAGATGTTTTATTTCGTAGACTAGTGACATTAAATATCTGTAATACGTGTTTTTTATGTTAAAAGGAGAGTCACCTGTTTTTGAAGTTCATGCCATATTGATGATTCCTTCAATTGTTATTCGACCAGGTATTAGTGAACTACAAGATTTAATGATCCAAACTGGAAGAATAATGATAGGGGTAGCGAAAGGAGTTGGTCAATGGACTGGAAATAAAAAAACAAAGGTATAGTTCACTAATGGTAATACATCTATGCTATTAATTATGACATATTAAATTATACATACAAAAATAAAATTAAGCTTTTTATAATACACTAAGAAAATTTGTACACCTTTAATATGATACCTATAGTATGTTTTATACATTTATAATTTGTGTTTTGTCACTTGTGTTGTCCACGTGTTTGTCTTCGTGTGCGCGTCTCGTTTGTTTTTCTGACAACAGGTTTTAGCAGAAAAGCATTGGAAACAGTTAGCAAAAGACTGTACGCTGCGTGATGAAACAAGTTATTCTAAAATTATTATTTCTAATATGGAACAGAGTCTTGGTACTGCATCAGTTGTTCAGGAAGATACTCGATCAAGACGACGGAGATTGTATAGGTTGGCATCCGAGAAAAAACCCACAATTCCAATCATACAAAGAAACTTTTATTTATATGTATCAGAAAATAAAGAAGTTGTAAAAGCTTTTTCATTACTTTCGACGTGTGTACAGCCTTTAAAACCGGTAAAATATTCTTTATAAAATTATAAAGAATTATAAAATATAACTCTATATGTTTTTAACTTTGTAGGGTTTTCAAGATTTTTTAAGTATATGGGCTCCTTATAAATCCCTATGGAAAAATAATTTGTCTGAAAGGAAAGATTTGTCCACTGTATCATTGATAGATTCTGAGGTTTATCTACAAAAAAATTGTGATCTTCTTGAACTTTTAAGATTAGAGCCAGATACTTTTAAATTAGGATCATGTGTTTTAATATCTATTGGTATGTGACAAATTAAAAAATAAATATTTTATATTTTTATATTATTGACTTGAATTTTAGAAAAACTGAAGTATGGTTTGACAATAGAAGTAAAATCGTGTAATCGTCACATAGGTCAACTTTTGCGAAAAAAATATCATCGCGAAATGGATTATGTATATGCAGTTATGAATGAGATGGAAAGAAAACTAGAAAGACCAATTAGAGATCTTGATGACATTCGAATGGTGATAGAAACATTAAAAAAAATTAGAGAAAATGAGGTGGATATGGAGCTAAAAATTGAGCCAATTGAAGAAGCATTTAACATTTTGACTCGTTATGACTTACCAGTTGATAAAGAAGAATTAGAACAAGTTGATAACATACGTTATTGTTGGCAAAAAGTTCTATCACGTGCAATGGATATGAATTTGTACTTATTAGATTCACAACCACAATTGCAAAAAGAATTAGCTGAAAATTTGAAACATTTTAAACTAGATTGTGTACAGTATTGTCACGAATATAGGACACTAGGTCCAATGGTGCCAGGTCTATCGCCGAGAGAAGCCTCAGACCGACTTATAATGTTTCAAGTAATAAAATGAACATTCAGTTTTTATTTTATACTTATATCTTTTTAATAATAAATAAAATAATGTATTTTAAATTTTATTATTTTAATGTATTTTAAGAAACAAAATAACACAGGATAAAAAAAAATATATCTACGATTTAAAATATAATTTTTTAATATAACTACTAATTAGTAATTAAGTAATAATTACATACATTAAAATTGAAACAAATTTTTTTTTCTTAAAATTCTTCAAAATTTGTTTTAATCATATTATCATAGCGTTTATGAAAATTGAGACTGCTGTACAGGTTTAATTATTTCTTGGCGTAAAAATTAGATTATAATACTCAATTATGAAAAAATTAAACTGAACTTTATATTATAACTTTTATTTGTATTTAACTATCTTATATTTATATTTAGTTATAAACTTATAACAATTATATAAATTCTTTAATATTTTTTATGAATTTTTATGTGTTTAATTATCTTTTAATTACTAATTACTAGCTATCGCATAAACTAGATATGATAAATAATTCTATATTTGATACATCCAAATATAAAGTCTTAGGAAATTGGTTTTTTCTGATAACTATTTAAATAGAAGATAAAAGTAGTAGCTCTTTTATTAAAATTAAACTAATACATCGTTGAATTCAATTATACAGAATCGTTTTGATGGAATGTGGCGTCGTTTACAGTCATATCAAAGTGGAGAAGAATTATTTGGTTTAGAGATAACAGAATATCCCGAACTTATTCAAATACGCAAGGAGTTAAATCTTCTTCAAAAGCTCTATAAATTATACAACGATGTTATAGATAGAGTTAGTAGTTATTATGATATACCTTGGGGTGATGTTAATATAGAACAAATTAATAATGAGTTAATGGAATTCCAAAATCGATGTAGAAAATTGCCAAAAGGATTAAAAGAATGGCCAGCGTTTCATGCTTTAAAAAGAACAATAGATGATTTTAATGATATGTGTCCATTATTAGAATTAATGGCAAATAAAGCAATGAAACACAGACATTGGCAAAGAATAATGCAAATCACGGGTCATAACTTTGATTTGGAAAGTGAAGGATTTTGCCTAAAGAACATATTAGAAGCGCCTTTACTTAAACATAAAGAGGACATTGAAGATATATGTATATCAGCCATGAAAGAAAAGGATATTGAAGCAAAGCTTAGACAAGTAACTAATGAATGGTCTGTACAAGAGTTGACTTTCCTAACATTCAATAACCGCGGAGAATTGTTACTTCGTGGGGATACAACAGCAGAGACAATAGGTCAACTTGAAGATAGTTTGATGATTTTGGGATCACTAATGTCAAATAGGTGAATAAATAAATTAATTGTTCATTTATAATTTATTATTATCTCATTTATATTTAATAGATACAACGCTCCATTTCGAAAACAAATACAACAATGGCTGTATGATTTGTCAAATACTAATGAAATATTAGAACGCTGGCTTTTAGTACAAAATATGTGGGTGTACCTAGAAGCTGTATTTGTTGGTGGTGATATAGCAAAACAGCTTCCTAAAGAAGCAAAGAGGTTTGTTAACTACTTTAAATAATTTATTCAATAATGAATTTATTAAAATTTAATTACTTTTTAAAACTTCAATTAAATTTTACCTAAAAAATTTTAATTCTCTAAGACGTATTTTAAAAAATTATTGAAAAAAATGTATACATGTAATAATTATTAATAACTAACGAATTTATTAATTTTAAATTAAAGACCTAAAATTCATTATTTGGAGTATATTATATTATTCATATTGCATGGAAATTGTTTTATAGATTCAGCAAAATTGATAAGTCGTGGCAAAAAATAATGCAGCGAGCCCATGAGACCCCTAGTGTTGTTATTTGTTGTGTTGGAGATGACATGTTGAAGCAATTACTTCCACATTTACAAGAACAGCTAGAATTATGTCAAAAGTCTCTTAGTGGGTATGTTGTATATTTTTAATTACTATATATTTACTATGCTATTTGTTTTCTATTGTATATATTATTAGGATTTAAATTATCATGTAATTTTTTTCAGTTATTTAGAAAGAAAACGTACAATGTTTCCACGATTTTTTTTTGTATCAGATCCTGCTTTATTAGAGATTTTAGGACAAGCATCAGATTCACATACAATTCAAAACCATTTGCTCTCAATATTTGATAATACAAAAGCAGTGAAATTTCATGAGATTGAATATAATAAAATGACAGCTATTATTTCCACAGAAGGTGAAATTATACCTCTTGAAAGAGCTGTTAGGGCTGAAGGAAGCGTAGAAACATGGCTTACTAGTTTACTACAAACATCTCAACAAACAATTCATTCAATTATCCGATCAGCATATAATCAAATGAATGACTCAAATTTTAGTTTGCTACCGTTTTTAGAAAAAATGCCTGCTCAAGTTTGTAGAACAACTTAATTTTTTAGATGACTAAAGAAAATCATTTTTCAAAATAATTTTTTTTATCAGATTGGAATTTTAGGTATTCAAATGATATGGACTCGAGACTCAGAGATAGCTTTAGTCCATGCTAGATCAGATAGAAAGAAAATGCATGACACGAATAACAGATTTCTAGAGCTTTTGAATACTTTAATTGATCAAACTACAAGAGATCTTACACGTATTGAACGTACAAAATTTGAAACTTTAATAACCATTCACGTTCATCAAAGGGATATATTCGACATCTTGGTACTATTTTTTTAAATAATATTTATACATTTTCCAGTTTAGCTAGATAATTTATAAAATAAAATCTATGATAAGATTTTAATAATTCTATTAAATTGTTTAGTGTCGTCTTAGTGTCAAATCTGTCAACGATTTTGAATGGCTAAAACAATGCAGATTTTATTTTAAGGAAGACTTAGACAAAACTTGGATATCTATAACTGATGTTATTTTTAACTATCAAAATGAATATTTAGGGTGCACCGAAAGACTTGTTATTACTCCTTTAACTGATAGGTCACTGTCAAATTCTTATGAGCGCTTCTAGACATAATAAAAGAATAATATTTTTCTTTTAAATGTTAGATGTTATATAACATTAGCACAAGCTTTGGCTATGAGTATGGGAGGTTCACCATGTGGGCCAGCTGGTACTGGTAAAACAGAAACTGTAAAAGATATGGCCAAAACGTTAGCCAAATATGTGGTAGTATTTAATTGTTCTGATCAAATGGATTACCGTGGATTAGGAAGAATTTACAAAGGTCTTGCTCAATCTGGTACGTGGGGTTGTTTTGACGAGTTCAATAGAATAGAGTTACCCGTGTTATCTGTTGCTGCACAACAAATTGCAGTAGTTCTATCTGCAAAAAAAGAAAAAAAGAAACAGTTCACATTTACAGACGGTGATGTAATCGATTTGTGTCCTGAATTTGGAATATTCATTACAATGGTAAGTACTGGGCATCATACAGAAAATATTGTAAACATTTATTCAATATACTTTTTACAAAGAATCCAGGATATGCTGGTCGTAAAGAACTTCCTGAAAATTTAAAAATACAATTTCGTACTGTGGCAATGATGGTTCCAGATAGACAGATAATCATTCGAGTGAAATTAGCTAGCTGTGGATTTCTTGAAAATATTACTTTAGCTCGAAAATTTTATACGCTTTACAAACTTTGCGAAGAACAATTAACAAAACAAGTTCATTATGATTTCGGGTTGCGAAATATTTTATCAGTACTAAGAACTCTTGGTGCTGCTAAACGTGTCAACAATAAAGATTCTGAAAGCACAATTGTTATGCGAGTTTTACGTGATATGAATCTCTCAAAACTTATTGGTAATTTTATAATAAATAAAAATGATGAAACGTTGCAATTATTAACTGCAACATAAAATAAAGTAATACGAATTTTATTTTATTTTTCATTTTTTAGACGAGGATGAACCATTATTTTTGTCTTTGGTCACTGATTTGTTTCCTAATCAAATGCTAGAAAAAACATCTTATCCTGAGTTGGAGGAAGCTATTGAAAGTCAAGTGGAAGCTGAAGGTTTAATTTATCATTCACCGTGGGTTTTAAAATTGATTCAGGTTAAAGAAAAATTGTATTATTTTATTAAATAACTATTTAATAAAATAACATAATTTTTTGATTTTATCATATATTAGTTGTATGAAACACAGCGTGTAAGACACGGTATAATGACCCTTGGACCAGCAGGATCTGGAAAAACTTGTTGTATACAAATTTTAATGAAAGCATTAACAATATGCGGTGAACAACATAGGTAAGAAATGAATAATGATAAATATTTATTATTGATTATAATAAAATATAACCAATAACTGTTATTAGTTATTTTAATTTTTTGCATAAATGCTTACATAGAGAAATGAGGATGAACCCTAAGGCTATAACGGCGGCTCAGATGTTTGGTCGACTGGATGTTGCTACTAATGACTGGACGGATGGAATATTTTCTGCTATGTGGAGAAAAACGTTGAAATTGAAAAAAACTGAGCATATATGGTTAGTTTTGGATGGGCCGGTAGATAGTATATGGATAGAAAATTTAAATTCTGTGCTGGACGATAATAAAACTCTTACATTAGCAAATGGCGATAGATTAGCTATGTCACCAAATTGTAAAATTATTTTCGAGCCTCATAATATAGATAATGCGTCTCCAGCTACTGTTTCACGTAATGGTATGGTGTATATGAGTTCGTCGGGTTTAGATTGGAATCCTGTAGTTGCTGCTTGGTTAAAGAAAAAAAATAGACGCGAAACAAAACTATTTCGTCGACTTTTTGATAGTACTTTTTCTAATATTTACAATTGGACAACACAAAACCTAAATATGACGATGAATATTTTACAGTGTAACATAATTCAACAAGTGAGTGTTAAATTTTGTCTATAAATTAAAGAATTAAAAAAACCTAATAGTAAAATTAATACCGTCACTGCTTTATATCGAATTTAAAATATGTTTATCATTAATACTATTTAGATACTAATAATATTACAAGGATTAATACCCCAAAAACCAGAAGAAGAAAAAAAGGACGATGAAGACGAATTCAATGATCATGATAGCTCTTCAGAAGAAGGTGAAGAAGATATAACAAATAATCGAATCAAACCAGATGATTTATTGTAAGTAAACTATTATGTCATTAATGTATATCTTACATAAAATTGTTTTTTAGACCAAGTAAAATTCACTTGCAACGTTTATTTGTTTTTTCATTGGTTTGGGGACTGGGAGCTTTATTGGAAACTGCAGATAGATCGAAGTTTCATGCTTATTTGAACAATAATTTTTCTTCCATTTTAGATCTACCATTGTCAAAAATTCAACCGGATGCTGAGATTTTTGATTTTTTTGTTACTGAAGAAGGTATTGGAATATCTATAATTTTTTAAGCATATTGCACTAATATTTATACTTATAAGGTGAATGGGAACATTGGAATACAGCAATGGCTTCAAATGCACAACCTGAAACATCAATTAGTTCTGATTATAGTCAAACATTAGTACCTATTCTTGAAAGTGTTCGAATTACTTATTTGATAAATACAATTGCAAAACAAGAAAATCCAGTATTACTTATCGGAGAACAAGGATCCGGAAAAACTGTTATGATGAAATCATATATGAAGTTTTCTAAGTCTGATGTATATTTAAACAGATCATTTAATTTTTCTTCTGCTACAAGTCCATATCAATTTCAGGTTTAAATAAAAATACATAGAATAATTATAAATTTTTTTGATTAATTATCAATCCTATAAAATTTTAGAAAACTCTTGAAAGTTATGTCGAAAAACGATTAGGGAATACATTTGGTCCACCAGGAGGATTAAAAATGATCGTGTTTATTGACGATATAAATTTACCAGAAGTCAACGAATGGGGTGATCAAATTACAAATGAAATTGTTCGTCAAACAATGGATATGAATGGATTTTATAGTTTAGAAAAACCAGGAGAATTTTATAACTTGAACGATATACTTTTTGTTGGCGCTATGGTTCATCCAGGTAATTAAATAAATCACTATACCCTAGAGTTAAAATATCATAATTGTATCACTATTATTATTATTGTACAATTAAATGGAGAATAGTTTAAATATAATTTTTAACTGGTCGTTGACCAATTTTGTAATACTACTCTTTGATATATTCCATTTAAATTGTATATACATATATTATTGTCATAAAGCACAGATAAAACAGACGTACAATATTTTTGTTTTATAAGAAAATATCGTTATATGACAAAAATTGATTGAGTTAATAAATTGCATTTTTATTTTTAATGATTATTTTTAATCTTGCTATGTAACTTTTCTAATTATTTTAGTTAGAAATATATATATATATATTTTTAGAGATAAATAGTAAAAAATATTCATTTAAAACATTGTGAAAAATAATAATAAATATTAAAAATATATTCAACGAAATAAAAATTTAATAAAAAGTTATAAGTGTTGTCATTTAAATTCAATACACTCTGATATGTTCATAATTTTTTTCAGGAGGTGGTAGAAATGATATTCCTTCTAGACTTAAACGACAATTCAGTATTTTTAATTGCACAATGCCTTCAGATGCTTCTATAGATAAGATATTCCGTATCGTTGGAGAATCACATTATAATGCAAAACGAGGATTTTCTGTAGACATTAGAAATTTGGTTAAAAAGCTCACTCCAATAACTAGAGAGATTTGGCATTGTACTAGGGTATTTATTAAAAAATAAATAACTTTAAAATGAATAATTTTGAATTAATAGTGACGTAATAGTTTTGAAATTATAAATTATGAATAAAACTATTATGGATTTTATTGGTTATAAATCCAATTTTAATCCATTTCGTCTTAATTTGTTTTAAAATTAATAGATGAATATTTATTATAATATAAAACTATTTAAGCATTATTGTTAACTATATTTATTGTTAAAAAATATGCATTGAAAATTCTTACAGCTTAATTTGCTACCTACTCCAGCAAAATTCCATTATGTGTTTAGTTTAAGGGATTTGTCTCGAATATGGCAAGGGATGGTTGGAACATTAAGTACAGTAATTGATTCACCGAAAATATTACTTATGTTATGGAAACATGAAACAACTCGGGTTTTTTCTGACAGGTAATACATTAAAATGAATATATATTACAAAACAATAATTTATCATTTATAAAAATTCTTTATAAATTCAAATTTAATTTATTTAATTTCCACTTGAAATTAAAAGATGAGATATTGTACTTTTAAAAAATATTTTGATTGTTCATATTTTTCTAGATTTACTTCTTTGGCCGACAAAAGTTGGTTTGATGAAGAATTGAAAAATATTGTTGAACTTAGATTAGGCACTCAATATTTTGATATACTTGACTCCGATCCACCTTTTGTTGATTTTATGAGGTATACCAATTATTTTGGTTTTTATACTATCTGTTATTATTATTATAATAGAAGTTTTTTTATGTAAAGAGATGCCCCTGAACCAACTGGCGAAGAAGGAGAAGAAGCTGACATGGAATTACCTAAAGTATATGAACCAGTTATGGAGGAAGCTCAATTAAAAGAGCGATTGGAAATGTTTTTGTCACAATTTAACGAAATGGTTCGTGGGGCTGGAATGGATCTTGTATTCTTCCCAGATGCTATATTTCATCTTGTTAAGGTGATTTAAAAAATCTTTGTTTGATCAATTAAAGTAAATTTTATTCATAAATTTAGATATCTAGAGTTATCAGGCATCCACGTGGGAACGTTATGCTTGTAGGAGTAGGAGGATCTGGTAAACAATCACTTACTAGATTAGCTTCATTTATAGCTGGTTACAAGACGTTCCAAATATCATTAACTCGGTAATTATAGTAATTAGAAGCTGTTTTTATTATTCCGTTGTAATAATAATTTGTTTTTTTTAAGATCATATAACATAACGAATTTTTTGGAAGATCTCAAGTTATTATATAGAACATGTGGTGTTCAAGGTAAAGGAACAACTTTTATTTTTACTGATTTAGACATAAAAGAAGAAGGATTTCTGGAATATTTAAATAATATATTATCATCAGGTATGTACATGTTTAAATTTTTACCTTATAATTTAATTATTATATGTTGTTATTGAATTATATTATAATCTAGGAGGAATTACTAATCTATTCACTAAAGATGAACAATCAGAAATAATTTCTGAATTAACTCCTATTCTAAGAAGGGAAAACATTAAACGAACATTGAATCATGAAATTATTATGGATTATTTTTTGACGAAAACTTGTCAAAATCTTCATATTGTTTTTTGTTTTTCTCCTGTATGGTCTTATTTAAATTTAATTTATTAGAGTGAATATTTGTCACTTATTTTGTAATTATAGGTCGGTGAAAAATTTAGAAATAGAGCTCTCCGTTTCCCTGCATTGGTGTCGGGTTGTACAATTGACTGGTTCCAACCGTGGCCAAAAGATGCTCTTGTACAAGTAGCAGAGCACTTCTTGCAAGATTTTGATATTGAATGTACAACAGAAGTGAAGCGAGAGTTAGTAGATGCTATGGGTACAATACAAGATATTGTCGATCATACGTCCAGGGATTATTATCAACGATTTCGTCGTGCAACTCATGTTACCCCAAAGTCATATTTAAATTTTATCGGTGGATATAAAAGTATATATTATCAAAAACAAAAAGAGCTAGGGGAAGGAGCTCACCGTATGGATACAGGTTTAGCCAAGTTAGAGGAAGCTTCTATTTCAGTAGAACTACTAAAAAAAGACTTAGATATAATGGAACAAGATTTAGCAATTGCTTCTCAAAAAGCAGAAACTGTATGTAAAATAAATTTGTATAAAATATAAAATTCATACTAACAATTCTAAAAATTTAAATAATATAAACATTTACCCTAGGTACTTGTTGAAGTGACCGATCGTGCTAAACAAGCAGAAATTGTGAAAAATCAAGTCATGAAAGTAAAAGTGAAAGCAGAAGCCCTCGTAGATTCCATCGCTAAAGAAAAAGCTATTGCTGAAGAAAAGCTGGAAGCTGCAAGACCTGCATTAGAGGAAGCCGAATCAGCATTAAATACAATAAAACCAGCACATATAGCTACAGTTCGAAAACTTGGAAGGCCTCCCCATTTAATTATGCGAATTATGGATTGTGTTTTAATACTATTTCAAAGAAAAATTCATCCAGTTGTTTGTGATACAACAGTGAAATGTCCTAAACCTTCTTGGCCCGAATCATTAAAGGTATTTATATTTTGTTTAATTATAAGATATATATTTACAATTAATTTATAAAATAATATTTAAATATTAAACTTTAAAATAAACTTATTTACATAGATGATGGCAAGTACAACTTTTTTACTCCAACTACAAAATTATCCAAAAGATACTATCACTAATGAAATGGTTGAGCTATTACAGCCATATTTTGATATGGATGATTATAACATGGATACAGCGAAACGAGTTTGTGGTGATGTAGCAGGATTATTATCATGGACAAAAGCAATGGCATTCTTTCATAGTATTAATAAAGAAGTATTACCATTAAAAGTAAGATTAAAAATATGCTAACTTTTTATTAATTTGTCTAAAGTAAATTATTATCAACATATGATTTATGGAAATTGTAGTAACATAATCCGATGTCCATGATCTGTTCTTTATAAAGCATACTAATTTTTATTTTATTTTTAATTAAGGCAACACAACAAAAACTTAATAATGTAAACCATCATATTTTATTTCTATTTAGGCTAATTTGAAATTACAAGAAGCTAGATTATCTATTGCAATGGATGATTTATCTATGGCTGAGCTTGAATTACATGAGAAAGAAGTTGCATTAAATGAAGTAAAATATCAGTACGATGCTGCTGTTCAAGAAAAGCAAAGGCTTACAGATGCCGCAAATGTTTGTCTAAGAAAAATGACATCAGCAACTGCTTTAATCAATGGCTTGGGAGGAGAAAAAATCAGGTGGACACAACAAAGTAAAGATTTTAAAAAACAACTTGGACGGTAAAAATAACAATTCAGTTTACAATCAATCTAAATGCCATTGTAAATTCTGTTTTTTTATTTATTTTACATAAAATAGGCTTGTTGGAGATGTTTTATTAGCAACTGGATTTTTGTCATATTGCGGGCCTTTTAATCAAGAATTTAGATCAAATTTAGTTCAAAAATGGATGATCATACTAACAACTCAAATAATACCTTTCACAAATAAACTTAATATTACCAATATGTTGGTTGACAATTCAACAGTGAGTATATAAGTTAAGTAAATATATATTATATATAGAAAAAGTGTATTTATGGCAAAAAACAAAATATTTTGAGGTTTCCGAGTGGACTTTACAAGGATTACCTAATGATGAATTATCTGTACAAAATGCTTTAATTGTAACTAAGTCGAGCTCATATCCACTCCTAATTGATCCACAAAATCAAGGAAAAATGTGGATAAAAAATAAAGAATCTTCTAATGAATTACAAATTACATCATTAAATCATAAATACTTCCGGACACATTTAGAAGATTGTTTATCGCTTGGTAGACCTCTATTGATTGAAGATGTCAGTGAAGAACTTGATCCTGTAATTGATAATGTATTAGAGAAGAATTTTATAAAATCGGGTTCAATAGAAAAAGTAATTTTCTTTTGTCGAAAAACTAACAGAAATACATAACAAAAAAATGTTATTACAAAATAATAGAATATTTTGAATATGAATATTTTTATAAGGTTGTAGTTGGTGACAAAGAAACGGATGTTATGCCTGGATTTGTATTATATATAACAACCAAATTACCTAATCCAGCTTACTCGCCTGAGATAAGCGCTAAAACTTCTATAATTGACTTCACTGTTACAATGCAGGGACTTGAAGATCAACTTTTAGGTTACAATATAATTTCATTAATATCGTGTGCTTATTTCATATACCTTTTTCAATATTAATTTAAAGGTAGAGTTATCCTAATGGAAAAATCTGATTTGGAAGCAGAAAGAGTTTTATTGTTTGAATCTGTTTTACAAAACCAACGTTCAATGAAAGAATTTGAAAGTAATTTACTACACAAGTTATCATCTATTCAAGTAAGAATAATTCATATTATTCAATGTAAAATATAATTTTATTTAATTTTTGAAGTTTTAAATCTGTTACATTAATGTTTAAATTATTTGTTATTATTTGATTTGTTCTAGTGTAAAAACCTATGAGAAATTATTTCACTTATTATACGAGGGATTACCAACATAGGTAGCAAATTGATTTTTTATGAAGTCGCTATCATAGATACGTAGAATTTATTGTCAATTCTGTATTGCTAGTAGGTTTATTTGTAATTTTTAACTGACAAAAATGTTTCTTAGGACTACACCATAAGCATATATACAGGGTGATTGACTAACTATGCCTCACGAATTATCTCTGAAAATATAAGAGTTATAAACAATTTTTTTTTTTTAATCATTATGGATCTTTGATGAGCTGTTTCACGAGAAAATTTAAATTTTTACCACCATCCCTTTTGCTTAAAAATAGTGTCAACTTCATATTTTTAAATGGCTACACTATTTTTTTTTTATACCATTAGATTTAGTTTAATAAAAAAAAATGTTTTGTAAAAAAAATATTTTATTTTATTAAATATTAAGCGCTCCATGGCTCTCTAAAGTTTAGGGTTTATTAAAAAAAAATCATTACAGACGAGAACGTTATGGATCGTAAATCGATAAGCGCTACCACTTCTTATCGGCACACTAAATAATAACGATACTATATTTACCCGACTACTGTTTTATTTGTTAAATTCCCTAAACTTTAAATAGTAATATCTCGCTTAGAATTTATTAAAATTGATTTTTTTTTTTTTTGAGAAAATTTTTTTTTATTATTAACAAGATTAAAAAAAAAAAAACTGGGTTGCTATTTGAAAAACTAAAGTTGATATTGATTTAAGGGTTGAGGGATGAAGATTGAATCTTCATTTTTCTTGTCAAGTAGCTCAACAAAGATTTATAACAAATAAAATAATTACATATACGATAATACTAATATTTTTAAAGAAAATTCGTGAGGCATAGTTAGTCAATCACTCTGTATTTATAAAATCATAATTGACAATAATTGCTGCCTATCTGTTAATAGCGACGTCATAAAAAAATAATTATTTACCTATAATTGTAATCCCTTTTAAATTATACATGTATAATAATTCAAAAATTTGAAACTTTAAAGTTTTATATATAATAAACAAATAAAGTTATATTAAGCATACATAAAGTTAACACACATCAGTACAGATCTTACTGAGCTGTATACTTATAATACGTGATCTATCCGCGTTACATACCCATTGTATGTATTAAAATTCGTGTAACTGAATAATAACTTATCCTAAAGTTGTATTTAACCAAGCAAAAGTTTTGTAAAAAAAGTTACACAAAATAATTGCTGAATTAAAAGTTATATAGAATGTTAGAATTTGGTAGGCCACCCTGAATAATAACTATAATAATAATTATCTTCTTCTTATTCCTCGCCTTAATCCCAACTATTTGGGGTTGGCCAATATAATAATAATAATAATAATAGTGAAATTAAATGATTATATATCACCCATTATATCTCTTTATTTATGATTGGATACTCAATAACAATTTATAAATATTTATTAGGGTTCATTGGTGGACGATGAAGATCTTATTCGAGTGCTTCAAGAAACTAAAGCAACATCAGAAGCTGTAAATGCTAAATTAAAAGTTTCAGAGCAAACTGAAATAAAAATTATGAAAGCTCGAGAAGAATTTAGAGCAGTCGCTACGCGCGGGTCAATACTTTATTTTTTGATAGTAGAAATGAGCAATGTAAATGTCATGTATCAAAACTCTCTGAAACAATTTTTAATGTTATTCGATAATTCGATTAATAAATCAGTTAAAAGTTCATTAACTGAAGAACGAATACAAAACATCTTACAGTATCTGACTTTTGAAGTGTGGAAATTTACAATGAGGAGTTTGTATGAGCGGCATAAGCCACTTTTTACTCTTATGTTGGCAATGAAAATTGATTGTTTTAAAAAATTAATTACCCATGAAGAATTCATGACATTTATAAAGGGTATAATAATGTTTCAAGTGTTATTTTTTTTATTTAACAACTATTTTTGTTTTTATATTACTTTAGGTGGGGCTTCATTAGATTTAAATGCGGTAACACCAAAACCTTTCCGTTGGATATTAGATATAACATGGTTAAACTTGGTGGAACTTCACAAGCTAGACGTATTTTCAAATCTTTTAAATAAAGTAATATATCATAATTTTATCAAGTTTTACATATACTTATGATAATAAATTAGAGATGTGGTATGTCACAGTTAATCAATTAGTCGCCGCATTAGCACTGATATTAAACCTCACAGTTTGCTGATGTTTCCCGTATTCGAGAAATTTTACAGGAATTTTTGCAGTGACACTTTCCTTGCTCTTATACGGGTTCCTTCTGCCATAATTAGGTTGCGTTAGATGATAACTGATGTAAAAACTCTGTCAAATCGTAAAATAAAGCCAACCACAAATAGTTAGTATAAAGGTTAAGGGGATTATGAAGATGATGACCTATAATAATTAAGTTTTAATCTCTAATTTAATTTTTTATTTTTGTTGTATGACGTATCAATACAAAATTATCGTTTGTACATAATACCATTGACATTGTACGTCAATTTGACTTATTAAATTTTGTAACGATTTTTGATAGATCAAACAAAATGAAAAAGAATGGCGAATTTGGTATGAAAAAGAAAAGCCAGAAGAAGAAGATATACCTTGTGGATATAATAAATCCCTAGATGTGTTTAGAAAATTGTTATTAATTCGTTCATGGAGTCCCGATAGAACGCTATCACAGTCAAGAAAATACATAATGAGTATATACAAAAAATTGGATTTTTTTAGTTATATTGAATGATATTTAATTTTATTCGTTTTTTTAGATTCCTTAGGATCTGAATATGGAGAAGCATGTATTTTAGATTTAGAAAAAACTTGGGAAGAGTCAGAACCCCAAATACCCTTGGTTTGTCTATTATCAATAGGTTCTGATCCATCTCCTCAAATAACTGCATTAGCCAAATCGAAAGAAATTCGTAAGTGGTTTTTGATTTATTTTGCTGTGATTAAATGGTTACTTTTGTATATATTCAATGTTAACTATCTTACGCTTCATTAGAGTTACGATCCGTCTCTATGGGACAAGGACAAGAAATTCATGCAAGAAATTTAATATCTGACAGCATGAATATTGGAGGCTGGGTATTATTACAAAATATGCATTTATCTCTTCCATTTTGTGCGGAAGCCATGGATGCATTATCAGATTCTGAAGAAATTCATCCAAGTTTTCGAATGTGGATAACAACAGAAGTTCATCCTCATTTTCCAATAGCACTATTACAGGTAAAAACGTGAAATTAAAAACATTTTGTAAAAAATAACTAAGACAAATCAAAAGTTTTTAAGTATTTAATTTTTTTTTTTAATAATTATAATTTTCGTAAATAGATGGCCATTAAATTTACGAATGAACCGCCTCAAGGGATTCGTGCTAGTATGAAAAGAACTTATCAAAATATAAATCAGGTAAATTATGATATACTTTATTTAATATATTTTCATAAAAATATTTACTAAAACAATAAATATTTATTTAACGTACCAACAGGATATGTTGGATTATTCAAGTCAACCCCAATGGCCAACCCTTCTTTATGCCGTAGCATTTCTTCATACTATTGTACAAGAGAGAAGAAAGTTTGGGCCTCTTGGTTGGAATATACCATATGAGTTTAATCAGGCTGACTTTGCTGCTAGTATACAGTTTGTACAAAATCATTTGGATGACATGGATCCTAAAAAAGTACATTACAATATATTATATTATTAAATAAGTTATTTTATTGATTTATTTGTGGCAGGGAGTCTCTTGGCCAACAATTTGTTATATGCTGGGTGAAGTTCAATACGGTGGTAGGGTTACAGATGATTTCGATAAAAGATTATTAGTAACTTTTACTCAAGTACATTATACAGCTTTCTTAAATATAATTCAAGGATTGTGTAAAAGTAAATTTAATTTTAATAATTTTTTAGGTTTGGTTTTGTGATGTATTACTTCGGCCTGGGTTTGAATTTTACAGAAGCTATAAGGTTCCTACAAGTCGAAACATCCAAGTAAATTATAAACATATAACATTATGCAGAAGTTAATAATCATAAAGTAATTTTTTTCTTTGTCGATGTATAAAGGGCTGTGTCGATTACATAAATACTTTACCAGTAACTGATTCACCTGAAGTTTTCGGGTTACATCCGAATGCAGATATAACGTAAATTCTTTAATATATAATTGTTACGAAAATAATATTTAAAAGTAAATACATTAATCTATACTCAATTTCAGCCATCAAATTAATACAGCAAAAGGAATTTTGGATACAATTTTAAGTGTTCAACCCAAAGAAGGTGGAGGTGGAGGTGGCGAAACTAGAGAAAGTGTTGTTTATCACTTAGCTGAAGATATGTTAAAAAAATTACCTAAACAATATAAAGACTTTGAGGTAAATTAATAAATTACGAATAAAAAATATTTTTATAAATAATAAAAAAATCTGTTTTATTAGTTAGTTTATCTACCGTTAAATCGATATGTTTAAATTTACAATAATTAACTAATTTAATGAAATATATTAAAAAAATTATTATTTTAAAAGTAATCTTATATTTTAATCAAAACCTATGTAGTAAAACAATAGGTATATAAAAGATATATATTTTTTTTAAATAAAAAACAAAATAAATTTAGTTATATTAATACAAAATTGTATAAAATATTATATAATTCTTAATGGATTATAATAGGTAAAAGAGTCATTACAAAGAATGGGGTCGTTATTACCAATGAATATTTTTTTGAGACAAGAAATAGATAGAATTAAAAAAGTCATTGGTATCGTCAAAAAAACTCTCTGTGATTTGAAATTAGCTATTGATGGTACAATTGTAATGAGCCAGGGCTTGAGAGAAAGTTTGGATGCTATGTATGATGCTAGAATACCACAAAAGTGGCAAAAAGTAACAATTTCATAACTTCTGGTAACTTAATATATATTAAATATAGTATTTTTATTTTCTGTTATTATAGGTTTCTTGGGAATCAGCTACACTAGGATTTTGGTTTACTGAACTTTTAGAACGTGATAATCAATTTCGAAAATGGATTTCAAGTGGACGACCAAATGTGTTTTGGATGACTGGATTTTTTAACCCTCAAGGATTTCTTACAGCTATGAGACAAGTAATTAAAATTTAAAAGATTGGTTTTATAAAATTATGTTTGTTAAAACATTACTTAAATTAAAATACGTTATTAAAAATTTTACTTAGGAAGTGACAAGAGCTCATCGAGGTTGGGCTTTAGATTCCGTTGTACTTCAAAACCTAATAACACGCCATAATAAAGACGAACTAAGTGATTCTCCACCAGAAGGTGTTTATGTCAGTGGAATGTTTTTAGAAGGTGCTAGTTTAGATAGAAAATCTGGTAAGTTGGTGGAAAGCAAACCAAAAGTTTTGTACGAACAGATGCCAGTGATTTATATATTTGCCATTAACACAACTGCGGGCAAAGATCCTAAACTATACGAGTGCCCAATTTATAGAAAACCTCAAAGAACCGATCTAAAATATGTAGGATCTATTGATTTTGAAACAGACAGCAATCCTAGGCATTGGACGTTGAGAGGGGTTGCACTTTTATGTGATATCAAATAATTACAAAACTCACTACAAATGAAATTTTATGCACATTCTGTATTTAAATAATTATAAGTATTATTTATTTAAATGATCCAGTTAAAATATTCAACATTATTTATTTATAAATTGTTATTATTGCTCGGCTAAATAACTGAAATATATATACACCTACTAGATATTTGTCGGATTTTTCTGATATCTTGAGAATTATTCTGTTTAAAAATAATTTTATATAATTAATGACAATATTATTTTTGTATTTTAAATAGTTATTATTAAATACGTATTATGTATTGTTCAATTTTTAAATGTTAAAAATTATGATTGATAAAGATAGTGTAAGGTTATTGATCGCAACAGATACTTTTTTCCCTCTTTCGAATTTTCCAATCACTAATAAAACTGTACTTAACGACTTTTGCCAACTTTCAAAAATCCATCTAACCCCTCAGTATTATAATCACCACAAAATGCCATTATCGTTAATGAACTTTTTAGTTTGAATATTAAAAGTCTACCATTGGCTGTAAAAATATATATCGACTAATTACATAAGTTCTTAATGGCAAGTTAAAACTTTTTTGGTTTCAAGCGCGAAGTCAGTATCATCGATGAAATTCGATCACATAAATAAGTTAACTTAATTATAAAATGAAGAATAATAAACTTATACTTTTAATTTATTGGTTTCGCTAATCAAAGAAACTGAGTACCAATTAATATCAATAATAAATATGAAAGTTATATTTACGTAATATAGTTAAATTTAATAATTAATATTTATTATTACCTTAAGTTTGACCAATAGTTTAAATTACTATTTTATTCAGTTCTAAAAACAAATTAATTTTTGTAATAACTTAAATAAGTTGAGATAGTTTTCATTAAGTTGCTATTATTGAGTAAAAACCAATACAATAATTATACCACATATAAGTGTTCAGTAACAGGTTAGTTGTTATTAACAATAAGAATAATATAGAAACCTGTTTCCTAACTTAATGAATACATTGTATAATTTAATTTATTAAAAAGTCGTCTTTCTTTCGTTTTTGAAAATGTACAGATTTAAATTCCATTATTTTATGAACAATAGTTAATATTAAGTTCATTTTAGGTTACTCTTAAAATCTAACAATAAAATAATATTTTCTTACAATTGACTTAATATTTACTGTGGTCCATAAAATTAATGCAAATTTTTATCTGTACATTTTTATGAAAATATTATTTAAAAAAAAATTAGGGAGTAGCACTCTTAATAAATTATACTGTATAGAGTACCATGTACGCTTTACAATGTAATGATTAGTATATAGTATCACTACAGTGATATTATAATCGAAAGATATCATAGACCCTTTTATTCATTTAATGTTTACTACAAATTAATATATTTTATATGAATAGCTGTAGTGAGCGAATAGGTATGAAAACTGATTAATATCATCATATGCCACAATTTTTAGTTATGTGAGATATTGTTTCATACGCATTCGAGTACATTTGACTATAGTAATGTCGAATTGATAAAACTAATATATTGTAATGTAAAGAAATATATTGTATTAGTTAGTTTTACATTTATAAAAAAAAGTTGTTATTTTCTTCACTCTTTAACTCGTTTACTTTTTTGAATTTGGTGTTGGAAGGGTCGAGTAATAGCAATTGGTTTAACAGCAGTAGAAATAATAGTAATCTCGGAAATGGTCACACTCCGTCCACCACTTAATGACCGTATCACGGGACTTATTAAGCATACGACCATATTGGAGGGTTAAGCTCAATAAATTTATGGCAACAGCCTGAGAGTCGACAAACTGCTGCTACCTCCACGGGTAAAGAGAGCGTTAGTGGTGGTTAATGTCAGTTTTAAATTAGTGGCTTAAACCCTTACTCACTTTGCCGTCACATTTTTACATCGGCTTGAAGGTATGTAAACCATCACAAAATCCGGCATTAATTATTGCCGATTAATTGCAACGAATGAGCCTTCGTCATCAAATGACCGTTTAAATTGTATTTATTTTAATCCGAGATAGAGCTAAATGGGAAATCATCAATTTCTCACTGAAACCTCAAGTCTAACATATATCTGCCAGCGACATTCCACTTGTATCACAATGAAAATAAATTAAAATTTAGAAAAAATTTTAATCTTAATTACTTTTTGAGTCAATAATCAAATAGTTCAAAACCAAAAAAAAATTTATTTTATTTTTAGTTTTTATTTTTCATATTTAATTGATTTTCTGTTGAACTAAAGTGTCAGTTATTTTAAAATCAAATTATTTTTTTTTGTATAGATGCAATAAAAACATAGTATTGAGATTTTATATTTGCAAAAATTATGAATTGGTAACATTAAATTTTTTATACAATACATATTTTCTTATCTACAACGTATTTTCAAAATCTAATCTCTCGATCTATTTACTTTTTAACTGAATACATTGGAATTTTGATAAAATAAAATCAGCTTTTATTGATTTTATTAAAAAAATAACAAAATAATTATTTGAAGTGGTATTTCATTATTCACGAAATTTGGCTGTACGTTTTACAAACATACATGTATTTATAAGTCAAACATGTATGAAACATGCAGTTCGATTTTCACCTTAAACAAGTGAAATAGTGTTAAACCATTAAAAACAATACAAAACTATATATTTACAATAATATATGCTAAAATTTATCCAATCTTCTTTTTTTTGTGTCCTAAATATTTTATGTAGACACAAAACAAAGATACACCGTTTTTCTGTAAAAAAATATATCTCTCTTAATGATTTTATTAGCATCAAATTTCTTCTATACTATTTGTCAATATTATGACATCACAATTACTAGAAAATAATTATGTGTTTAAAATGTTTAAAGCTTATAATAATCATTCATCAAATTTATTTTATTTTCCGCTTAATTAATAAGTGTCTTTACCCGACTAAATGACATTCATGATGTTCAAACATATGCTTAACAGTATATAAAAACATATTCCTTAACTTTTAAACCATTAAATTAACAGTTTTAAGGTTTTTACCGTTATGAATTAGTTTTTCATTGTGCAATTCATTACCGTTTGAACGTAAAAATAGTGTAAAAAAATAAGCTGAGTTGGTAATTATTATTCACTGTTTCTTGATTGTTATTTGTACCATAAAGATGAAATCATTATCTATCAAATGGAAATATATCGTAAAGTAATCAAGAAATTTTAATCATTCATCAATGAGATAATTTTTTATAAAAAAATTCTTCATTTTTTTTTTATAAAATTATGTTAATTATGATAATTATATTAAAAAATTAAAAACTGAATCGTTGTATACTTGAAGAGTGTAAAATTCATATTTGGTCTAATTGATTTTATTAGCATTTTTGTAGTAATCTTAGATTAGCCATTTAGCAATAATTATTAGAAACCTGCGAAATAACTTGAAAGTTGTAATAATAATTCGTTGAAAAATAAATATTTTCCGGACTTCTTCCTAGAGATTTTAACAACATGTTGATTTCTGAAAACCATTCAGGTTTATTTATAGGTAAATCATTATTTTGACATAATAAACTGTATATTTTTTTATGGACGTTAATAAAATCACTTATATATTGAAAATATATTTTTAATTTGTCAAACAGTTTTTCGCTTTGTGAAACTATTATTGTATTTTGATTAACAATTTGTATTTAAAACATCACTCATTGATGCATTAATTACGTGAACGTGGGTGCTTATAATGATCAACTAATTCCCAGTCATTCAAATAGTATGCATGATAACCAACAAGATTTAAATATAAGTCAAAAACACACAAAGAACCTATTCAAATACTTCCAAAATCGAATAATGTACTTATTATTTTATTCATTAGGCCAGTGTATCTTATTACTATATTTTATTTAAATTATGAATGATAAAAATGAGTTTTAATTACTAGTATAGTATTTAATGCATTAAATCAATAAGAGAATTATAAAATATTCATTTTTTTGACTGACTTATCTTAATTTACCTTATATCCAGTGCTAAGTGATTACTTAAAAATATAATAAATGTTCAAAAAATTCAAAGCAAAATACATTTTTTTGTGCAATTAAAAATAATGTATTTGTTACAATTTGTATGTATTTAACTATAATATGTATTAGTGATGATAAAAAAATACTAATTATTCTATTGGTGATTAGATAGTCTCCAGGACCAAATAACAAAGTTATAGGTTGATAAGTAGCTTCTAGATAATAATGTTCACATAGCCCAAGGGGGTTTTTATCCCTTTAGTTTATAATTTGTTGGCAAGAACTAATTATATATCTTTACCGTCCGCTTCCTTTGCTGGTAAGCTGAAACTCCTTTGGTGAAAATGAGTTTGTATATATGCTTGTATTTGACGTTTTGTAATTATATATTCACTGCTGCCAATAGCTCTAGGATCAAATTAAAATTTCATAACAAAAGCATTTTAAAATATTATAACAAAGGGATTAAGTGATTGATTTAGTTGAATTGAATTTTTGATAGATATACGAGTTCTAAAAAGCTTTGTAATTATTTTATGTCCATGAACGTTTAAAAAATATGTTACTATGATAAACTTACCACGCATTTACAAAATTGAGCGCATTTGATTTTTTATTCAATCTTTCATAAATACGTATTTCTCATAAATCAATCATTTATAGCATACCTCAAAAAACAACATAACTCAATTTTTTCAACTTGAGTTACGTCTTTACAAAAAAAAATATTCCATCGAAAAATAATTTCACTTGAGTTTTCAAGTAAAACCATATTCTCTTGATACGAGAAGACTTAATGTAATTTTTTCCATTCCAAAAATATTTTAACAATTCGTTTTATTTTTCAAATAAATATATTTTTTGAATGGCTAATTTATTAGCCGAGTTTCTAGTTTCTAAGCACCTTCTCATTTTGTCAATTTTTATGCTTGTATAAAAAATGTCTGACGAAAATTTACTGAACTTGTATAACGTCTTTATATTCTGTAAAATAAAATGGTATAATTCAAAAACTCAGGTCAATGAAAGAAGAATATCAAAAAAAATGTCATAGAAAAATAAAACATTTTAATTATGTGGTGTTAACAATTTTATAATTTGGTTATCGTAAAAAAAGTTAATATATATATTTTTTTAATGGTTAAATTTTTTCTATTATTTTAATATTTTAATAAAGATATGTAAACAAAAATAGTCACATTGTATATGAGGGGTTATATTTAAGTCTCAGAAAAGTGAAAATCACTCGAAATCTCCGATTAAAAGAATCAGCGTTCTAAATTTAAATAAAAAAGTTTTATTTATAAAAGAAAATCTAAATGAAAGTAAACATTTTCTCTTTAATTAAGTCTGCGTTCAATGTTTCCGACAAAAAATAATATATTGAATATTATTTATTGCTACACCTTATTTTATGAATTTTATATTATCCACAAAGTAATGACATAGATACGACTAAAATTATATTTATACATGTTATGGTAAATATTTTTTTTAAGAAATATCAATGTTTTTAAAATATTTTATATTATACATTATATTTAAAAAAAGTTTTAATGTATTCTTGTTTTCTAATAGAAATCATGGTTTAATGTGTATTCGTGTTTAGAAATATTTTTTATAATTATTTCAAGAATATTTTAATAACTTTTATTTTATCTTTTTAAGGTCACTGATGGAATAATTTACCACCATGTTTTTATTATATTTTTTCTGAGATTTATAAGTTATTATCTCATAAATAATTGGAATAATTAGTTTAAAGTCATATTATAAATCGCAGTGTACGATATTGGAATTAATTCTTTGCTAAGCGGTAAAAATCATAAATGATAAAATAATTTACTATTACCTATAGATTGTCATATTTTACTTTGTTTATATCATAAAAAATATTTCTTAGGAATAGATCAAAATAAAATTTCAGAATCAGTTATTTAATACCTATTGAATGATATAAAATAAAAAGGAATAGATGAATACAGTAAGGTATAATCACATAAGATCTTGTCTCTAATACAATTTACAGTAAAAAAAAAAAAAAAAAATTTTAAAAGTGGTAAAATCATAATTTTTTTCATATTATTTAATATTTCCTAAAAAACCTGTATGCCATTTTTCATACAGTTTGCTCCAGTAGTGGCCTATGGTCTAAAAATAATACTGTTCAGGTAATTAACTTACGAGGAAAATACCATGACATAACTAGTAAAAATTTTAATTAATCACTTAAAAATAATAAATATTGTTTAACAATAATAATAATAATTTTATGTTTTTTCTTTTCGTGTAAATAAAGCAGGTCAAAAATATATTTAAAAAGATTTAAATTTCACACAGCAAATTAGTATGAACAATTCTTAATTATAAAAATCAAGTTTAATTCTTTAAATAACAAGGGCATAGTGCTATATCTGTATATGGGTAATATATTCGGACACAAAACAGTTTATACATTTCGTTAAATAATAAAGCAGACAAACGGTAACTGTGACTGAAGAATGGTAATTTGATACGTGTTTACGTAATCCGTTGCAAAGTTCATAATATAGAGAGTATACCTAACAGAGAAATAAATTCGCTGTAACCTTAATTTGTGTTAATAGTTGACGCTAGAGCTTTTAAGACAAGAGTATAAAGATTGAAGCAGAAGAGCCGACCGGGACAAACAATTGACACTAAAAATGTTCATCTCCCAGCTTTGAGCTGCAGTTTTAATAGTAATAATTATTATTGTAATCATTTAGTTGTGTGATTAATAGGAACGTGTCCTCTGTAATTACGGGCCAATGTGTTATTTACGGAGCACATTACCGACGAGAGCAGTTTCCCGGGACCGTTTAGGGGAAGCTGTTGTCTAAATGGCCGGTTGATAATGTAACATTACTGTGTTTCCCAAGGTGTTTGTGTGACTGTATGCGCTTCTCTTCCAAGCTGTGTTTTGCCGGGTGTTTCCCTTCATCCCTTCGAGAAACAGATTTCCATAATTTGTTGTAATTTAAGTTTTGCCCAGCAAAGTTTATGGGACAACTTTTGACCGGCTGGTACGCTACTTGCATTACGTGTCCGCAGCGTAATTAATGATGGATTTTATGATTTAACGGTACTAAGTCTGCAAATTTCATTGAACAGGGTACTCCAAACAAGTAATTTTCTAAAAACTATATTAATGCTCTTATAAAAAAGTTAAACCCATAAAATTAACATTAAATCAATAATTATTTATTTTTATCTTCAATTTTAAATGGAAAATTTACAGGAAATGTCGGTAAAGGTTTTATTCAAAATATTTCATTGAAATGCTAAGTGTACTGTTTAAAACACACAGTATAAACTTAACTAGTTTAACTAATACTTTTCTTCGTTATACTTGTCAACAGTAATTTTTCGTGAGAAATAAAAATAAGATTTACTATGAGAATTTCATAAATGTCGTAGTTTTGCTTGACATGTGATCAAAAACGTATACAGACAAAAAATCACCATTAGAATTATTCATTATTTCATTATGAATATCGCACTGAGTATGATCTTTATTTTAAACTCGATGTGGATCTTAATATATTGATAAAATTATTGTATTCCCCCACCTGGATAATACCATCGGCATTAATGCAATTAGTGCATTCAGAAAAAAAAATTGTAACTATTACAATCTTCCTACGAAACTTGTATGGTAAAGAAAATAATCCAAATTTAATTTTGAATATTTATTTAATAAAATAATTGATTGACGAAAAAACGAGAGGCAGTATTTTTAATAAATCACAATTTATATCAACCAAAAATCAAATTTAAAGAATGAAATCTTCAATGTCAACTATCAATATTTAATTATTTTAACCATTTAATTTAAGTTAGTAGTACTAATTTATTAACACAACATAAGTTATCCACAAAAAATACTTAATAAGTAAAAAAATGTCTAAATTTGGATAGCGATACTGTAAAAAAATAGTTAATATTATAATATAATAGATTAAGAGTGAAGTTATATCATACTAGAAAAAGTAATATCAACAATCAGATGATTCTTTAATTAAGTAGATATAAATAATTATATATTAATTATAATTCACAAAAATGAAAAAAAAAAAAGTAGAAATCAAGCTAAGCCCCAACTTTGGACCAGTAAGTGTTCCTCTACAATTGAATTCTCCACGAATAATTTATATAGGGTATTCAGTAAGTAAGGAAACGGTTTTTTTTTGTTCTCGTTGTTTATAACAATTGACTTGTACCTACTGATATACAAAGTAATTCCTTAACTACGTTTCATAAAATAGCTTCGAAAATGTAATAGCTAATTATTATTTTACTTTTTAATTCGTGTCAATTTTCAATTAACAAATAGTAACCTCATTTTTTTGATACCATCATATTTATAAAATAAAAAAAAATTGTTCGTTTTAAAATTTTTTTATATTATTTGATTTTGTATAGGTATCAGCTGTTTAAAGTTCAGGAGTAAAAAAAGCGTACTCATTTTTAAAATATAGAATTTTTATTTGGTCGTATTAAATAAGTTATCAATAAGTAAATTAATATATCACAATGTTGCAGTTTTTAAAAATTAGTACGTTTTTTCTTCTGGTTAATATCCAAAGTTTTGAAATATATTTTTTGATACCACTCTTGGAGGGGTTATGTTTTTGAGTGGGACACTCGGAAGAAAAAATAACTGCGCGAGCTTTATTGTCCATTTATTTGTCAATCGGATGATAGCTACAAAGTTTTTATGGTAAGATTTGACAATAAATCAATGCCGCCCCTCAATATTAGACGCTATCATGTGCCTACAATACCTATATATATATATAAATACGCACCTGTTTAACTAATCAGGGCCTCCGTGTTAGATTTATTAAATTAAATTTAATTAAAAATTATTATAATTATAATAGTTATTTTGATAAATCTTCACTGAAGTCAACATTTCAACAAATTTTCAATAAAATATGAATATTGTTTATTTAGAAGACTGACTTTTAATTAGTCAAATACGTAATTAGCTTGACAATAACACACTAAATCAAAATTTTTAATTGTATCATAAATTTAGTACTATCATATTCATATGTGATCACTGATAAGTATTCATTTGTTGCCTTTGGTGTGTTTTTTAAAGAAATTGAAGAAGTTATATATGTTAAGTTTAAACAAAATACAAGTTATTTTGAAACTTAACGGTTTTGCATTGTAGCGTTTAATAAAAATAATGTTAATCATCATTAGCTATCTAAACTTGTTTCAATTAAGCCGCGATTTGACTGTCCTGGGATTTTTTATTACTTAAAATTTTTTTATTCTTAACAGTGGAGGTGTGTTTTTTTGTTTTTTTTTTTTAATAAAAAACCGTTTTAGAACCTGTATTAAACTAAATTTTTAAGATTTTCTGGTACTTTGACACTTTTTTAACAGAGATTTTAATATATTGTTTATTAAAAAAAAATCATATCTAATATTACCAATTAACTTTAAGGGTTTAGAAAAATTGGTAAATATAATTTGTGGATCCAAAATTTTACAAAAATCATTTTTAATGAATTAAAAATTATTCGAATGATTTTATTTAAAAATTTTTTTATGTGTTACTATCCGATTTTCACTAATTAGTAATTAATACCGAAGACGATGGAAAAATTCTATTAGCAGATTTGAAATAAGCGCGAAAAATTGATGTAGACGGGTAAATTTTCATTTGCGATGATTAAAAAAGAGCTATTTGTTGGCAAATATTATTATTATCGAAGAGCAATAAGATTAAAAAGTTGTCAAAGCATAAAGAAATGTTTATTAACTATCGAGTTGTCATGTCTGAAATTTTTTCTTTTTGAAAATTTTACGGAATATGAAGTCGATCAATTAAATGTTACTGTCGTAATCTGATTGAGACCATACAACAAAAACGAATAGCAAACGGTAAAAATAATAAACTAAAAAAATCAACGGTCTGCGACGGACTCGAGGCGTACTTGTCGTAAAGAAGGGGGTTTGAACCACAGGGTTTGGGCGGGGGCTGAGGTATTACCGAGAACTGGGTGAACACATAACCCCCAACGGGCTGCACGGATGTAGGTCACCAAGTGGCCGGTATAAGATGTTCGCCCACGTGGCCCACTACGGGCGGGGCATCAACACACAGCGTCGCCGTACTTACTGCCGTGGCCCCTCCCATTACTAGCCAAAGCCACGCACAGAGATGAAACGCAACGGCCCGAGGCAGTTACCACCGGTACGTTGTCTGGAGGACACGCGGTTCTATCAGTCGGTCAATCGAATCCAAAGTACGACAAAAAGAATTCTTCAAGCTCATTAATTCAAACGTCCAGATTTATAAATTTTGGTAAGAGAAAATATTATTACACATAATTCAGCGAAGTAGCGTAAAAAACGTTTGGGTTAATATTTTCAATGATAAATTCGCTTATAGTTATTCAGACTCGCATAAAATCAAAACAAATTTTACCTCCAAAATTAATTTTATGCATTACGGTAACTAAAAAACAATTAAATAATTAAAAATGTTTAATTATAACCTTTCTTAAATTGTATTTAATATTAAAAAAAATTAACATTAGTTATTTTCATCCGTTTAAAATTTCACTTTCAATGTTGCAAATATGTTCAGCTGAATAAATTGTTCAGAATTGAATTTATTTTTACTTTGTCGATTAAAAATTTAATATGTAAAATTATATTTTAATTAGTTATGTAGATTTAAAACTACATAGTTACATTAAACATTGAAATACATTAGTTTTTTGAAAATTTAATAATAATTGTTGAAAAATTCGATAAAATCTATTGGTAATTTTTTTTGTAAAATAAAATCGAGTTGAATAAAAAATCTACAAAAATTATTTGTAAATAATTTTGATGATTCCGATGGACTTCATTTCCACACGGTCGCAGACTATTTCCGAAAAGCAGGAAATGTACGCACTACGTCGAATATTATTTTATATACATTTTTTTTAAACGATAATTTTTCCCGGATATTATTGAATTGAAATCTGAAAGTAACGCGAAAAAGTTTAATGCTTCGACAGTGAAAAAAGTAGAATATTTCTTGTTAAAAGAGGAGTTCTAGATAAAAATTGCACATTAAATTTCTGCACATATAAGTCATACAATATTTTTCACAATTTTAAAACTTATTATTAAATTCTATATTTAATATTCTTATATCCGGATTAATCTCTACCGATACTTGAATTATACAATTTCACCTATAAACTTGTTCGAAATATCAACGGGAAGTTAAGAATTTGTAACGGGTTTAAAAATAATTTCTGCATTTTATTTAAACTACCCTATCGCATGATTAACCGGCAACGATAAAGAAGAAATCCAATATTCGTACACAGTTTATAGCATGCCCCAGAGTCTTAATGAAACAGTTTTAATTACTGATTTTTATCGGCAGGACAATCGCATGAATCCCCACCCTATTCTGTTTTATGGCGGCAAGATGAGGGTATTAGACAATCGCGGAAGAAGCGAAAAAAAATTAAAATACTAAGTCAACCCTTTTGCCAATGCAACTGGCCTTGGTTTGTACCCACACACTCATTACACCGCAGAGTTTCCGAGTCGTTTAACTCGCGTGATGTTCTAGTTTTCACACGATAAAAACCACCGCGGTTGTATACTATTCACAGCTGACAAAAGGACTCACGATTTTCCTATCTATGGAGATAGTGTTGATTAACGTTTGGTGTTATAATAACATTATTTTGTGCATGTTTGTATCGTCCAAATCATCTAGTCCTTTCAGCGAGCAGCAGAATTAAATTGCCTTTTGAGGGGGCTGAAATGTACACCGGATACGCTTCGAAAATTTTCAAATATTTGTTTAACGCTTATCTAGTTGAGAGCATTTGAATATTTTTCAGTACCAAATTTCTCCATCTCTGTTACCCTATGTGTTAAGTAGACATGATCTCTCGCGAAATTAACAAAAACCATGGTAATAACAATATATTGAACAATATTGAATAAAAAGGGCCATTGTTGTACTTACCAAGCATTGAATAATCGAATGCGATGGATTAAATTTAAAACTCACCCGGTCGCTAATAATGAGTGGAACGTAAGCCCCACTGCCACTTCAATGGGAACGCCATGAAACATTATTATTCCCGTTATTGTTGTTTTTAAGGTACGATCGTAGATTTAATAGCAAAATAAATATCTGCAACAGGATGATATGTAGCTTTTTCAACTGTAATACAACGGCGGTAACAGATGCTGCTGTACAGCAGTTACAAAATATTACGCTGCTATATATACTCCAACGGCTATAGAATTATTATTGTTCGATCATACATGTGCGTACATCATTTTTCGATAAACCCGCTTTTTCAATATAAATGACCTGCACACTCACCGGTCATGAAGATCCTGTAGAAACGAACAATTCTGCATCGTAAACCTAGTGCTCTGAAAATGAAATAAAAAATAACGTTTTTTATCCGTGCATCGGCCGCACTCGTGACAAAATTAACCATAAAGGTAAACGTTGATAGTTTTATGACAGTCGAGCGAAGGTGCACTCATTCGAGAGGAAACTGCGGTTCATTGTCTATAGTCCAAAAATCAACGTCGTTGTTACAGACCTTCCGGTTCGTTTCTTCCGCGTCAACAGTCTCATTACACTTGTATCAACGTCTTTGTATAGGTGTGCTGAAAACGTAATAATGCAAACCGACACAAAAGAGACTGGAGGCGAGAAAAGCGTCACTCTTGCATTGTGCTCCTTTGGACGCCAATGTAGGGTGACACCCTATATACCCTGGTTAGTACATCATAAATCACTGGCGTGATCATGAAATCAGACCGGACGAGTATTCTAGTGATATATATGTGTGTGCGCCTGGGCGATGAATAAAAAGACAGCGATCGTTAACAATACAGACGGATTTATTATTTACCAAAACCAGTAACAATATAGTTACCACACAGTTAATTTCGCACCACTGCTCAGAATGCGCATCACTTTCCATAACGGATCATAGCAGCCCATCATGTTTTTTATAATATATGACATCGTTTTATAATGCGTCTATACGTGTACATCCTATGAGTGATGATGCGTCACTTGTATGCATTGTTTACATCATGTAAAATATACTACATTTTTGCATTAAAAATGCATTTAACGAATTTTTAACGCACTTACGAATACAGAACTACATCAATATTAAAATTATCAGTTATTGTTTTATCGCCAAAATGTCCAATGTGGAAGTGATTCGATGTAATTATATTTTTATGTTTGTTAAGTGTATTTTGACATTTAAAAGTCGTCAGAGTTGTTACAAAAGGATAACGTTCTATAGAACAACAATAAAATAGTATCTTTGTGACCCTCGCTCTTCGCAGCTACGGTTGGCAGTCACAGGTGCTGTAAACTATGGGAGCATGCACTATTACTACTCTACCCCACTTATGGGGTGATGCCCTTTCGCTATTCATTATATTTTTTAGTGGTGGATTGTTATTCAAATCTCGTATTGGTTTGAGTCTATACGTTTGGGGATATATAAAATAACAATGATATGGTTGTGTACGGTATGCTAACTTACAGTTCAGTTATGACTAGAAGGGGTGGCTTATTTGAGAAATAGCGACAAGGTAATAAGAACGTGAAATGAAAGCTAAGTTATCATCCAACAGCCTTACAGACACCACGTCAACACTCGCCACCTTTTATGTTGTATTGAAGTGTATTCGTACGTTAATGTTGAATGCAGTTTCAAAGGGACTGAGCCATGTTTGTACCAATATTCATAGCAATAATAATAAACTAAGGGGTGGAAAGTCATGTTATTAGCATCGAAGTGTGTTTGTAACGATTATTTCATTTTTTTTTTTTTTTATTCTCACCGTGAAGGTTAAAAAAATGAATTTCATTTTCATGTCTATCAAACTGATCATAATTAATAAAAAGGCCAATGAATACACAGCATAATCAAATCGAATTGAAATTTTATCTCACTGTTTTCAGTATGCAGTTTGTATTAACTTTTTTTTTCAATTTAACGGCAAAATATAACGCGATAGGGTAATTTTGAAATTATCTCGACTTATTTAAATGCCAAGAGAATGAAACTGTATACTTAACTGAACAAACGAAATGATATCCAATGTATTTATGAATTTTGTGCCGATAATATCGTTACGGGACGGTCGGGTTATATAATATTATTATCTAATTTGAAAATGAGACGGTAGTGGCGTATAATCCTTGGTGACCGATACGGGCAAGTTTAATTTGTATTTAGACCCTCGACGGAGGGTGTTAATAGAGAGGTCGTTATCTGTTGTACGGTCCTTCGTTACCCCGCGCCACGGTACGTCTCCGTTTGTTGACAATGCTTGGACTTCTCTCTGTAACCGTTAGATAACAGAGAATGGAAAAGCCAGACTGTGCTAATTACACTAGGTCGTACATATACACACCCTTCATTTCCGCTTGAATTCTGTGGCGGACCGTATCCTTTCCTATATCCTTGGCCATTTAGCGGCGGCGGACTTCACGCAAGCCGTCCTTTTACACTCTCCTGCCCCACCAGAATGTTTCTCAATCTTACATTGCTATGTGCTCTTTGGAATCCGATTATATATTTTATAACAACAACTATCGGATATCGCACTAACTCGCATTAAGTATCTCGCTAACTGTTCAAGTTTAGATTGGATTGTAGATAATAAGTACGCATTTATGAACACTAAAATCTCTACTAAAGCATGACAATTTACATTTGGACTGTTGTGTGCACATTAACAATAGTAATAAACTTATGAAAATTCAACATTATATTTAAATAATTTCAACATAGATTTTCAGTGACTTTATGAATATTACTCGCACCCAGAGAAAAACCTCGATCTATATAATAAATTCATTGTTCAATTTGATAAATATATCATTACTATTGAATCTATGATATATTTATCAATATGATGATTTTTTTTCTTATTTTGAACAATAATTATTCATAAGAATAATCATTTTGTTCGTATTAATAAAACATTACCATAAACCCTTGATAAAATTTCTCTATCAAAATTGATTGAGGTTTTTCTTTGGGTGCGGATTATTAGGTTTTAATTAGGCAACTTGGCCATGATAATTGTTGAAAACAAAAGTAGGTTGAATTTTGACTAGGTGTAAATATTCTTGAATTAAATCATAACTGAATCGTAAACTGCTCCAGGAAACAATTCAGGAATTAATTATGAATGTACAAATAAAAAATCGGTAATTTTTCTTCTATAAGAAATGCGCTTTTGTTATTGTTTTAGAATGTGATTATGAGGATGTAAATTGTTTAGTTT